GCAACATACCCCATGAGTTAACCCATATCCTTTGTATGTGATTTAACTCTGCTCCTTCTTGCAAGAATACATTAGTACCTGATTATTGATTCTCAACCTGGTGTCGAGTGATATTTTCCTAACAGTTACACAAGCCAAAAAATCGTTATGACATCACAAAGTGGCCAAAATCTGATCAGCTCATTTTCAGACAGGTTTCTATAGAAATGGATCAGGACAAAAAGAGAGAGAATCTTTGTTCCTGAAACTTTCAGAATCTCTTTGCACACATGTTGATATAGAAGAGACATGAAGAAGAGGGGACACATGTTGATGTAGAAGAGACATGAAGAAGAGGGGACACATGTTGATGTAGAAGAGACATGAAGAAGAGGGGACACATGTTGATGTAGAAGAGACATGGAGAAGAGGGGACACATGTTGATGTAGAAGAGACATGAAGAAGAGGGGACACATGTTGATGTAGAAGAGACATGAAGAAGAGGAGACACATGTTGATGTAGAAGAGACATGAAGAAGAGGGGACACATGTTGATGTAGAAGAGACATGAAGAAGAGGAGACACATGTTGATGTAGAAGAGACATGAAGAAGAGGGGACACATGTGATGTAGAAGAGACATGAAGAAGAGGGGACACATGTTGATGTAGAAGAGACATGAAGAAGAGGAGACACATGTTGATGTAGAAGAGACATGAAGAAGAGGGGGACACATGCTGATGTAGAAGAGACATGAAGAAGAGGGGACACATGTTGATGTAGAAGAGACATGAAGAAGAGGGGACACATGCTGATGTAGAAGAGACATGAAGAAGAGGGGACACATGTTGATGTAGAAGAGACATGAAGAAGAGGGGACACATGTTGATGTAGAAGAGACATGAAGAAGAGGGGACACATGTTGATGTAGAAGAGACATGAAGAAGAGGGGACACATGTTGATGTAGAAGAGACATGAAGAAGAGGGGACACATGTTGATGTAGAAGAGACATGGAGAAGAGGGGGACACATGTTGATGTAGAAGAGACATGAAGAAGAGGGGACACATGTTGATGTAGAAGAGACATGAAGAAGAGGAGACACATGTTGATGTAGAAGAGACATGAAGAAGAGGGGACACATGTTGATGTAGAAGAGACATGAAGAAGAGGAGACACATGTTGATGTAGAAGAGACATGAAGAAGAGGGGACACATGTTGATGTAGAAGAGACATGAAGAAGAGGGGACACATGTTGATGTAGAAGAGACATGAAGAAGAGGAGACACATGTTGATGTAGAAGAGACATGAAGAAGAGGGGACACATGCTGATGTAGAAGAGACATGAAGAAGAGGGGACACATGTTGATGTAGAAGAGACATGAAGAAGAGGGGACACATGCTGATGTAGAAGAGACATGAAGAAGAGGGGACACATGTTGATGTAGAAGAGACATGAAGAAGAGGGGACACATGTTGATGTAGAAGAGACATGAAGAAGAGGGGACACATGTTGATGTAGAAGAGACATGAAGAAGAGGGGACACATGCTGATGTAGAAGAGACATGAAGAAGAGGGGACACATGTTGATGTAGAAGAGACATAAAGAAGAGGGGACACATGTTGATGTAGAAGAGACATGAAGAAGAGGGGACACATGTTGATGTAGAAGAGACATGAAGAAGAGGGGACACATGTTGATGTAGAAGAGACATGGAGAAGAGGGGACACATGTTGATGTAGAAGAGACATGAAGAAGAGGGGACACATGTTGATGTAGAAGAGACATGAAGAAGAGGGGACACATGTTGATGTAGAAGAGACATGAAGAAGAGGAGACACATGTTGATGTAGAAGAGGACATGAAGAAGAGGGGACACATGTTGATGTAGAAGAGACATGAAGAAGAGGGGACACATGTTGATGTAGGAAGAGACATGAAGAAGAGGGGACACATGTTGATGTAGAAGAGGACATGAAGAAGAGGGGACACATGTTGATGTATTAGGAGACATGAAGAAGAGGGGGACACATGTTTGATGTAGAAGAGACATGAAGAAGAGGGGACACATGTTGATGTAGAAGAGACATGGAGAAGAGGGGACACATGTTTGAATGTAGAAGAGAACATGGAAGAAGAGAGGGACACATGTTGATGTAGAAGAGAATGTGAAGAAGAGGGGACACATGTTGATGTAGAAGAGACATGAAGAAGAGGGGACACATGTTGATGTAGAAGAGACATGAAGAAGAGGGGACACATGTTGATGTAGAAGAGACATGAAGAAGAGGGGACACATGTTGATGTAGAAGAGACATGAAGAAGAGGGGACACATGTTGATGTAGAAGAGACATGAAGAAGAGGGGACACATGTTGATGTAGAAGAGACATGAAGAAGAGGGGACACATGTTGATGTAGAAGAGACATGAAGAAGAGGGGACACATGTTGATGTAGAAGAGACATGAAGAAGAGGGGACACATGTTGATGTAGAAGAGACATGAAGAAGAGGAGACACATGTTGATGTAGAAGAGACATGAAGAAGAGGGGACACATGTTGATGTAGAAGAGGCATGAAGAAGAGGGGACACATGCTGATGTAGAAGAGACATGAAGAAGAGGGGACACATGTTGATGTAGAAGAGACATGAAGAAGAGGGGACACATGTTGATGTAGAAGAGACATGAAGAAGAGGGGACACATGTTGATGTAGAAGAGACATGAAGAAGAGGGGACACATGTTGATGTAGAAGAGACATGAAGAAGTGGATTTTGCATAATAGGTGATCTTAAAGACACTTAACTGTCATATATGTTGTGTAGTGAGCAGTGTTAAAGGGGTCTCATTCTGCTTTTTGGACTTTTCCCTTTCCTGTAGTGTGTTGTATAGGTTTTGTTCCCACCTGTAAATGATCTGCAAAGTAGGGCTGTGCGATTATGGCAAAAATCATAATCACGATTATTAAATGTATTGAACTTTAAAACAAATTAAAATAATAATTTGAACTGTATGTTTTTAACAGTTGTATACCCTGAACTTTAAGTATAATTCAACTGAAAAACCAATACAAATTAATTATAGGCTACATTTATATCTACATTTAAATAAATAATATCAAAAATAATAAATACCAATAAAGAAGATCAACAAATATTTTGGAGCGCACTTCCACAACCTACTGAACATATATGTTATGATAACTAATGTCACTCACAAGCTGTAATGTTTAATTATACTGCTACACGCAGTGCTCTTATTTTGGTAACCCCTTATCCAGAAACCGGAAGTAGCTAAGAGGTTCCGGCTTGACGAGGTTAGTGAAAGTTGACTGGACGCTAGAGACCGGAGAATAAAGACACGGCAACTAAAGCTTCCCTTGTAACGTGTTTATATGGATTTATTAAACAGACTGCAAGTCACAACACAACCTGGCCGAGAGGGCTTTTAGGGAGGAGCGAAAGCGCACGCGCGGGCAGGATATATAACGCAAGACAAATTGAGCATCATTGTGAAAGGGGAATGCAGCAAAATAATCGTTTTATTTCGATTAGGTTGTTTTTGTAATCGTTGCAAGACAAAATCGTAATCGAGATTAAAATACGATTAATTGCACAGCCCTACGGCAAATGCTAAAATCCCTCCTTTGTTTACTTCCGTAATTTAGTGGCATCACTATGTAGCTCTCCAACTCATTGTACGTGACAGGCAAAAGGGCGGGACTTCTCTAAGCTGTTGACCAATCTGAACAGAGCCGGCCAGCTAACCAATCAGAGCAGACTGGGCTCTGGTTTCAGCACAGGCAGTATGAGCAAAATAAAGAGCTTTTTGAACATTAAAGTATTAGAGACAGTACCGATATGAACCTGGACATGAGAAGTCTCTTCATAGCAGATACAAACAGATAAAACAGGAGCATTTTTTGTTAATATATATTTCTAAATACCTTCCCATTTCGACTCAGGTGTCTACTATATCCAAAAAGCCTAAAAGGCCTTTAATCATCAGACTTGAAAGCCAGGCTGAGCTTTAAACAGCTGGTGCAATGCCTTTTAATGTAATCCTGCCATGAGTTTTTTATGTTGTCCCCCGGGCAGTGGTTCTCAAACTTTTTCTGTCAGGCCCCCCCTTTGGAGAAAAAAAAAGTCGGGCCCCCCCAACACAAATAGTCAGGCTCTGTGGCAGCGCCAGAGATTTATTTTGGGGTGCTGTGGGGTAGCTTGACGTTTCGTAGAGGGTGCTCAAACATTTAGGGTTTCCCATTAATGTACCGGTCGCTACAGAGGAATGTTCTACTGCAACACTCCCCAATGCAAAATGAGAGATCTATGGATACCTCTCTCAACACCCATATGAAACAGAACTGTAAACAGATTTACTTTTTCTTTATCGATATTTTACAAATCACTCCCCTTTTAAACTGTATTCTTGTTTTACTGTCATATAGTATTTCATACCTGTTTTTCATTTATTCTCTTATTTTTTTATAACTATAATGATCATATAAACGTGTGCCTTGTTTCTCTTGTGAGGTCACTCTCGAAACGGTTCTTAATATCCTCTTTTACTTTGTCTTCCTTGTCTTCTGAGTAGGTCAAACTTAACTGTCTCTAACAATACTGAACCGTGACCTAAAAAAGTGTGCAAAATATCACAAATACCGTCCTTAAACCCCAAAAATTATGTTTATTGACGATTAAGTGGTGAGGGTTAGAGAAGGGAGTTTGGTTAGTGTGGGGTATGTTTTTGGCTTCTAATGTTTCTGTAGAATACATGAAATCTCTCACTTCTACATGTATTAATGATATACAATGTAAATATGTTATGTTATTTTGTGGGCCTCTAGTATAGCTTACCAGAGTGTCTCCATTATGTCTTATGATTGTATCTAGTGGATTTGTATGCAAAAAATATTGAATAAATGCAATAAATTCTCCTGATTTTACTTCTCCAGAGTGAGGACTTCTTGCTTTTCTTTCATATCTAAAAACAAAAAACACACACACACAGTCTCACCCTTCCTGTGGAGGGGATCAGGACGATGAGGGCCACGCAGAAAGCCAAGGACAGCACCAGACCGGTCAGCATGGCGGGAGTTTCCTCCACACACTGCAGGAAGGCCCTGTGAAACGCCTGATAGCAGCAGCACACCCCCTCCTTCACACTCTGCCTCGACCGGGTGCTTTTCTGGTCTTCTCCTCTGTCCTCGTCGTCCCACCTGACGTCGATGCTGTCCCGTGTTTGTGGGAGTTTGAATGGCGTTGCTGGTGAACTGCCACTCAAAGAAGAGTCTGTTTTAAAAACGCCTCGATCATCATCCGGACTTCTGTTGCTGTTTTTAACGCTGTGTGCGGAGATTTTGACAGGAGAGATTTGATTTGTCTTTTGGAATCCATCGAGCTCCGATATCTCTTCGCCAAAGTTGGATTTTGTGCTTTTTTCTACGGCTTGTAGCCTATCAGAGGAAGAGTTGACCAGGTTAGCGTGATCTGTTGTTGTTGTTCCCTTCATCAAAGACTCCAGAGGTTCAGGGCTCTGCACTTTTTTAGCCACACCGACCTCTAAGGAAACGGGAGATTTGCTTTTATTTAACGCGCCGTCATTCCCTTTCAAAGTGTCACTGCTTAATCCGTCTTTTGTTTTACTGAAGTCGTCCAGCTCCATGATGTTACCTCCAGTGTTTTTCCCCTCTCCATCGATAGCATTCACCACAACGTCCGGCACTAAAGCCACTTCTGGTGCTTCGTCTTGTCCAGTTCTCCTCTTGTCCGTAAAACCTTGCGACTCGTCTGGCATCGTGACCTGTGTGAGTGAGAGGGATCTCCTCGTCTAGCCCCTTGTCACTTTACTTTTTCTTGCTGTCTGTCTCTGTCTACATGATCAAAACACACGAGGGTAGTGACTTCTTTAGTTTTTCACCTGTCAGCTGTTGTTTATGTATGAGCAGAAAGGAGAGCGTTCACCTTTGACTGCATGTCAAACACCGAATCCTTCTTTGACGATCACTGAGGCAAACTGGAGGAAATCGCTGTAACAAAAAAAAAGAGATAAACAATAAGAAAGGTTAAAACACAACAACAAACACATTCAGAGATTAGCTGAATTATTTTGTACCTGTGTCCCAAAGTCCAATAAGGAGAGCAGGGAAGTCATACCTGCTCATTGCTTTCATGCCATTATAATGAGACACTTCTTTTAATCATTTCCCCATTATGCAAAATAAACTTGTTATACTAGCTACAGGTTCTTCCACTGCAACACACACACACACACACACACACACACACACACACACACACACACACACACACACACACACACACACACACACACACACACACACACACACACACACACACACACACACACTAACAGGTGTGTAAAGGAATTCAGTTTCAGTGACGCGCCCAGCTCACATTAAAAACATTTTTTACCAGTAACCTCCACCTACACTCAGCCGCTTCTTCCCCATCATGTGACTGCGCAGATTACCTTTGTCAGATCCAATGTATGTCACCATCAATTTTAGGATTTAAAATGTTTAATCTGCCTCTTCTGCTACAGGTATATCTGATGTAATAGCGAAGATAGGGATTAAACAGTATCTGATTAATAATGTTACCTAAATTGATTTGTGGCGAGTGTTAAAAACCTCGTGCTTTGTCCTTTACAATATGGCTTCTTTGTTGACTTTTACAAAAGGGTACTGTGTGTCTTTTTTTTAAAAGTCTGACACACTTTAAACTCTGGCACTGTGTGGTAATGACAGTGCATTTATTGTTGTCCACTGGAGTCCCTTTTCCCTGTTCTAAAGAATAAAGAAAGAGGGGTTTTCCAAAACTTACTCAGATGTTTTTGGCTTTCAAATCAAACCATGGAAAAGTTATATTTGAACTTAAATGGTCCGGTTTATTCAGTGTCATCCAAGTTAAGATGAAGTTAGACACCGTTAATTTGACTTACAGTCACTTTTAGAGAACTAACAATAGAAAATAAAGACCATTATTGAAGATTATTATGTTGTATTTTAACCTATGGATGCAATTTTACCAACTTAAGAGATACACTCAATCCATAAACCTTGTTGTTTTGATATCAAATGCCTATCGTAAGACCTCCAATTGCTTGTTTGAAACCCCCCACAGATATTTACATTATCATATCAGACAGCAAACACTAGTAAAAATAGAAATGTGTGTAAATGGACCAATATAATCTGTCCAACCACACCATTCACAAATACAAAGCTGCATATTGAATGTTTTATTGTTGAATTACCAAAGGAGTATTATGGCAAAATATGTTATCACAAATAAGCGAAAGGTGACTGACAGTGTTAACAAAGCTATCTTTCAATGTAACTTGCCTTATCTTTGGTTTAACTTGGCAGCAGGTGTAAGCCTTCAATAAAGTCATTTATAATAATTCAATATGTAAAAATAATCAGCTAGTTAGTTATCAATGGTTCTAATAAATGCACGTCCTCCTCTCTCGTCATTAACAACTAATTTATTATCAAAAAGGACTACAAACTAGAGATTAAATTGATTTTCTGTTCTGAAAAGGTGACTTTATTATTGGAAGCCAATTTCTGGCAATTATTTTGAAATACTAAGCCATTATTTTGAGGTTTTCAGTAAAATTACTTTGTAAGCATACAATTGGCAGAAATGTGCTTCCATACATAATTGCGGCTAGTTTTCAGGGTATACTATTAGGAACAATTTCCTTTAATAGTTCACTTAGTAGGCTCTATTATCGGCTCAGTAACTTATTTCACGTTAATAAAGGCTTACTGTGTGACAGGACAAAACAGAAACACCGGGTTGAAGCACAGAAATGTAAGGAAATAAGCCAAATAATATTCTTACCTCATCGTTTATTAATGTTCTCGTCGCTGTTTCCCTTTAACTTCAAAGAGATAAAGTTAATTTCCTTTTGTGTTTTTAATCGCCCAGCTTCCCTTATCGTTTTCGAGGACTCTTAAATACACTTTTGCCGTTTACATCCGGGTAAAAATGTCGAAATGATCTCGTAAAAACAGTATTTTCTTCCATAAAAAACAGACGTTAGAAAGTCTGCGTCTGGCTCTGGGCGCGAGCGAGTATGTGTGAGGTGGTTGGAGCGCGAGGCAGGTGAATGCGGGGGCGTGGTCCTCCTATTCAAATATGAAGAGGTAAACAGAGATGGAGAGGAAGGTCAAAGGACACACTGTCTGCAGGTGTTTTGTCTTAAAACGAAGCGTAAAAAGACGCTTGAAGTGGATTTAAGGCTTAGTTTGTTTGAACTATAGTCTTAGGAATCAAAAGGTTGCTGGTTCGAGTCCCACAACAGACCAGGAGGGCTGCATGCAGAGGCTAAACGTCACTTTATTTGCAGTGTTGTTTTAAAGGGGCTCTATAATGCTCATTTTCAGGTTCATATTAGCATGTTGTGTCTACTGTGAAAACAAAATGACAAAAACACTTAAACTTAAAGTGAGAACAGTCTTTGCATTACATCAAATGAAAAAAGAGAAACAGTAAACGACACACTATTGGAAAACCTTCAAGGTAAACATAATATATCCTCCTCTCTGAGTTTATCTCTCTTCTGTGTACCCCTGTGCGTCTTTTTCATTCAAATCAAACATGTTTATTGGTGTAGTAATATGTCCCTATATTGCCAAACAACTTATTTTACAACATCTGCAAACACACACACACACACACACACACACACACACACACACACACACACACACACACACACACACACACACACACACACACACACACACACACACACACACACACACACACACACACACACACACACACACACACACACACACACTCTGTAGTCACGATGGTGCAGCTGCAGAGTTCAGTGCCAAGTATAACAGGGATACATTAACTCAAGAAGAAAACTTAAGAGTAATTTGAAGGTGATTATCCTTTACTTGACTATTTTCATTTATTTCATACTTCAACTCCACTGCATTTCAGATGGAAATAGTGTAGAGGATAAGACTTAATTGATCATGAAGGGTACATTCAGATGTATATCAGTATGCACGGGTAGAATTGTAGTTACTTTTCACAACAAGTCAGTATCCCTCCGCGTCTGAGAAAAGCTACAACCGTTACAACTGTTACATTACGTCCGTTACAACACTAACTAACTAACTAAGCTTAAGATGGGAACATGTCAGGGATAATGTGCAGGAAGCCTTCCTGTACTTTTCTGTTGTTGTTAGATATGCAAATCAGTTAGTTACAAAGCCACAAAATACCTACAGCCACCACTCACTCACTGAATGTATGTCACTCTATTTAAAAACTTCTGCAGAGGTGAATGTAGACGTCGAAGGGCAAGTCCATTGTGTACATTGCCTGGAGACAATTCTCCGGTTGTTCTCAAAATAGTTGTGCGGTATATTTTCACCATTGTTCACAAACTCACCTGACTGGTTTACATGTCTATTTATTAGAAGGATGCAACCTATAACCTTCCTCTGTGAAGATACACACATGCATTGGGTAGTAACAATTATTCAATTATTATTATGCTCTGAACAAGCAAAGAGGAAGAAAAGGACGGTAAACAAAATATGAAAAGAAGGGTTAAAATACATAGAAATAAAACAAGCAGTCTCAAAAATGTGCAGATGAATTCATGCAGAACGACTTTATTTTTCTACCATTTTGGAAACAACCTTAACTGAGAAAGATCTTACCCATAGGCTCTTTTTAGTTAAGTGATCTTCACTAAATGTCTCTTATAGCAAGCAATCAAAGAGGCTCACTGAGTTAATATACTACAGACTTCACTCAAATAATAATCTTATTGAATCCTTAATTCATTCATTTTACTATAAAACATATGAATAAACGCAGTCTTCAAAATAAATAAACTATTAAAGATGTTCTCATTTAGGGCTTTAAACGTATAGTCGAAACATGGATGTATCCTTAAAAACACAATACAACTATATTTACCGTAATCTTACCTGTGTACTTCCAGAGTGAATTGTGTTGAATGGCGCCATCTTGTGGACATTGTCATTAACAGCTGTACAATTTATGCTTAATTTATTGTCAATTAATTATCTGAATGAATAAATGGAAATATATTGTCTTCAAATGTACAATAACTACTTGGGATGTATGTAATATTTACCACAGTCCAGTGCCTGTAAATAATGTTTAGCTCAATTTAATCTTGAGTTATTCAAAGAGTACATAAGTAACACAGCATTTACAGTCAGAGCAAAACTAAGCTAGATACTTCCAATACTTATTAATAATGTCCCAGCTAACTGTGTCATATGTGTACTCTACTACTCTGTTTAATATGTGTGCTCAAACTACTTAGAGTGATCCATAAAATGTATTATTAATTTATAGAGTGCCACAGTGACGCGTCCTAAAACCCGGAAGTAAGTTAGCATTTTACCACTTCCGGTTCCTTCGCCAAAAACCAATGCAATTTCTCCATAGGATTTTGTAAAATAGCTGGAAATAAGGTCTGTGGTTGTCGACACACATTGAAGAGACAGATCACGTTTTGTTCAGCCGGATAATGTCTACCCTACTTTTATAATTCTATAATCCTAAATCTAATCGATAGATTTATGATCGATAGATTTGATTCGAAAATTATAAAAGTAGGGTAGACATGTTTCAAGTTTCAATTCAGTTAATGTAAGCTTTACACACACATTCCTCTTTTGAGCATCTAGTGATTATGGCCTGCATGTCTTTCTGTTCTAACTCAGCTGTCAGCTTCATAGCAGTTTAGAGCCATAGTCATAGAGCGTTTGAGAGGCGTTTTTGCTTTTTACTTCTTACCTTACTAAATGGTCAAATGGTCCTTGGAGCGAGGGGCGGGGCCAAACTCACGGAAGTGATTTCAAAACAAAAGCACTCGTTTGCTAAAATCACACATGTAATCACTACAGTATCCTACTGAAGGAACGGTGATTATTATAAACAAGGGGAATTTAGCGATGTCTAAAATAGACAACATTGTTAGGAGATTTAAACTATACAGCGGTTCTGCACTGCGGTCACTCAGCCGCCTCTCGAGTTTGCTTTTTCAAATCAGCTGCTCTTCATTATTCCTGCTATATTTGACGAGTGATACAAATATTTGTTACCACAAGTTCTTAAGGAAAGTGACACTGTTGGACTCGGTTCTAGTTTGACTTCTACCAGAAATAAAATGAAGTACTTTTACTGTGTACTTTGTGAGTAATCCTCTGTCAGAGTCCCCTCCATAGTAGGCTATTATGCATGTTTTCTGCTGTCTTTGATGAGTGATACAAATATAATTGTACCATTAGTTCTTAATGAAATTGATACTGTTTGACTTTGTATTAGCCTATTACTTAAGTACTTTTGCTGTGTGTTTTTTGAGAAATACTCTGTCAAAGTCCCCTGCTGAGAACACAATCAAGCCACTTCTGCTAAATTTGATGAGGGAATTAGTTTTTGTTGCCATTAGTTCTTCGTGAGATTGATCCTGTTGGACTCAGTACTAGTGAAACTACCCCCACAACTATGAAGTACTTACTGTGTACTTTTCCAACAATCCTCTGTTAATGTCCCCTCCTGAGAACAAGAATGCATGTTTCTCTGCTATTTTGAATAAGCGTTAAAAAACCTTTCTTCATGAGACTGATATTGTTGGACAGAGTATTTTAAGAGGATATGGTAGACATGATATCAGCAATATTTCCAGTCAGTACTCCGGCAGCAGCATTTTACACCTTGGAAAGTCTTTAGAGTCTGGCCTGGATAGCTGGTCACAAATATCCTTCAGCAAAGTGACACACTCTGTCACATGGTTGCCCTCTTATGATGCTGCTGTCTTTTACTATATAACTATTCCTCTGCCGCTAGTTAGTTCCTTGCAGATTCTTCAGTCTCATCAGCCTCATCCTTCCATCAGTCCCAGTCAACGCCTCAGCCTCCAGCACACTTCCAGTGTCTGACTCCATATGATATTGTCCTGATGCAGTAAGGGTGATGCCCCATGATCACAACATGACCCTCTAGAGTCTGAGCGCCAAGGACCTCATATTATGTCTGTCATTAATGTTAAATCACCCATTATAACAATTTGCTTTCCTTTTTCTCTTCTCTTAACTGAATAGCCCTGTCTTTAAGTATAATACAATGTAAAGTCCTTTTCCCTGCACCATTTTAAGGCTTCAAAACAGGCATTTTTACTGTATGTGTTTGGAGAAATGACACAATCAATGGCCCAGAATTGTACTTTATAAACTATGAATCTTGTGGTGCTTGAAGAGCAAGGTTATATGCCTTTTTTGGAGCCCTTTTTTGCAATATTTATTAAAATGTCACTAGTTATTTAAACAAACCACTATCTGAGGATTATACAAGCAACCATAAAATGCCCATACTAGAGCCATGGAAGCCCATGAATCATTTATCCTTTCACAAATCCTTTCAACTGCTGTAAGTGCACTCTCTGTGCAGATTTTTTTTTAATATTCTTCATTTGCAGTATTTTTTTTAAACAGTGTTCAGAAAGACTGCATCAATTATATGCTATATATATATATATATAATATCAATATTTTTATTAACTAACCAAAGTCAATTTAAATAGCGGGCAAAAATGAGTTAATTGCCATGTGGTGTTTGATATAGTTTACATTCAACTATTTTAGGCAGAAAAACGTATATTGACTAAAACTTTTTTAATAATTTACTATAATTTCGAAAGGTTTTTGTGAGAAATCATTTCAAAAGTAAACATAATTTTATATTTAAATTTGAAATGTTTGCACACAACATTATTAATTTATACATTTTTATGAATTTTTTAAAATTATGAATCAATTTATTTGATTGTATTTCCTTGAGGCTGGGGAAGATATCATGTAGTTCAACATGCAAATGTTCTAATGCAAGTAAGTATTCATATAACATAAGGAAATAAAATACGTTTCATAGGAGGATGTGGATTTATTTTCTCTCACCTTGTAATTACACAATCAAACAATCTATAATTTAGCTCTGGCCTTCACTCACAAAACATTTTTTGTTGAATTTGACACATTTTTCGAAGCTCTATTGACTGCCCCGCCCCTCGCTCCAAGGACCATTTCACCATTTAGTAAGGTAAAAAGCAAAAAGGCCTCTCAAACGCTCTTCCGTTTACGTGTTTAATAAAGAAAAACAATTGGACGGTAGATACACGGATTTTTTTTACTAGGTTTTCTCGTTATCCGTCTTTTGGTACAGACAACAAAAACGAAAAAAGGCTTGTATTTTCGTTTTTTGGCTTAAACGAAAAAACAAATTGACAACAAGTACACGGACCGACCAGCTTCACAAGGAAATTAATTCATGAAGAGTAGATGAAACTTTGGTCATACATCTCCAAAATTGATGTTAAAAAGACCTAAATTAAGTTATATAGTTGTTTAAATCTTCTTAAAATCAACCCACTTCCCTGTTTTAGCTCCAAATCAGTCTTTAAATATAAATACAAGTAGGCTCAGTGTTATAACAACATTTTCTATATTTGACATGCTCTTCAACATCTAATTCCAGGATAGAAGACACTGAAATAACCAATTCAGAGACAGAGAATAATGAAAACACTCTACACACATTTTATACTTGGAATTAAGAAAACTTTAATACAGAAATATAGGCAGATGTCAGCATTACGTTCTTAAAATATACAAATATAAAACAAACCAATAAGGCTATTTTATCTTACAGTTGATGAACGAGTTGCATTCGAATGGTTTGATTAAAGATCTGATCTTCAGTCGAAGAATTGGATGAAAAATTAACTCGTTTTGTTTCTCCTCCTGAAGCACAGACACTCGGTACGATCAGAGCTACGATCAAAACAGCATCGAACCGGTTTAAAATAAATTACAAATATATAAAATTGAGTGTACACAATATTGTAAGGATGATTTTATATTATTTTAGCATTGGAAAATAACATCTAACACGGTGAAAAACAACAATAAACCCCTTGAAATAATTCTGATTAATTATTGACTGCTATGTAGCTTTGAAATATGAAGTTTAGCAAGTAAAATAAAAAACAACAACCGATTGCTAATGTTAGATTAAAAGATATGAAACCATCAAACCACCAAAATCACTCCAACTCCATTTGCTCAAAGGGCAAACAGGAAGTGCTGGTTTTTGAACAATAACACAAAATAAAATGACTGAAAGTTTAATATTGCTGCTGGATGAAAAACCCTCATAAAGGTGTTGATAGGCGGATGTTTTAAAGAGCATTGGATGTGTTTTTTAAGACATTAAAAGACTCACACTTTAAGACTTGAGTGGCTCTATGAAGCTGTAGGCCAGGGGTGCCCACACGTTTTCAGCTTGGGAGCTACTTTTAAAATGACCAAGTCGAAGTGATTTACCTACAGGGCCGCCCCTGTGTGGTGAGGCCCTGTGTGTCCCGAGCTGGGGGGGAGGGGGAACCTCGAAGCGGCGGAGAAACTGTGGCGCGCATACACTTATTGTGCCGCATTTGCACTTCAGATGAGGAGGTGAGGCCCCCCTTACCCTTTCTTTAGTATAATTGTATACATTGAAGGCTAACTAGGTAATCAGCTCGCCGGTGATTTACAGCTGGCGAGCATACTTGCCAACCCTCCCGATTTTCGCGGAAGACTCCCGATTTCATTGCCCTCTCCCGGTTTCCTCCCGGGGTCATATTTCTCCCGCATTTCTCCCGATTTCTGACTAAATCAGATTTACATTTACTCAGGACTGTTTCCACTCGGACTTTAATACAGCTACACCATTGTTTAGTTTCCATGGTAGCACGCGCAACTGAAAGTCTGAGAGGGTGAGGAAGATAGTCACAGAAAACAGAACAAGAATGGACAACTCGACCCTCTGCTCACTCCTTTCCTGTCCAGCCCACACTATGCTCCATCAAGGATGTGCTTCAGGCCGCAAGGCAGTGCACTTAGAACTACAATAAGCATGGTAATGTTAATCTAATACAGCTCCGGCAATCCACTAGCACACGTTACTTAAATGTAATGTATTATTATTATTATTATTTGTGAATTAAACACAAAATACATCAGAAGCTGCTAAGAATGTCATTAGTTTTGCTTGTTTCAAAAGGATGAATCCCTACCCGACCACTATGGGATATTTTTGGGGAAACCATATGTACGTAAGTAAGTGTAAGGCCTTCTCAACAGCAACAGACAAATACTTTTCTAATTGTGCAGGAAGATGGGATAGAAGTGAGGTAGATGCGGGGATTATGAATCGAAGATAAGATGCCTTTAGTCTGATTTATAAAACTGCTCAATCGGACAAAATGGTTCTGACAAAAGCTATTTCACCTGTTAAAAAACGTTGTCCCTGAGTCATAAATTGTCTATTTCTTTTATCTGTCATCTCACTTGCCTCTCAAAACTTTGCTAAATGGAGTAGGGAATACATCAGATTAAGATTCTGTATTAAAAAGCAGAAAATCTTATCTGAGTCAACAGAAAGTTTCACAAGCTGACTTCTTGTGAAACCCATATGACTAGTGGGATTTGTTGTGGTTGCTTTGGTACGAAACACAATCACATCACTTAAAACAAGCCACACTTCAGCGTAAAAACAGTCAGGAATTAAGTTTAACAGGAATTAAACATCGATAACTTGTAAGACTAAAAGAGTCCTTCTAGTGCTCCAACATCAGATCAGACAGTGCGTTCATGTCCGTCTCTGAAGGGTGGCTCTGCAGAACCAGCGCCACCATGTTGTCTTGATCGGGGAAAACCTGACAGAGCTGTTCTTTCAAACTGGCTGTTTCCTCCAGAGTCCTTTCTGAAGCCCCAAAATGTCTCCCCTGGTGTCCCGAGTCCCACACCTTTCCATGTCCTCTGGCTTTTCCCCGGCTTCCTCCACCTGGAGTTCGGTCGCGGAAGTTCAGGAGCTCGGTTTGGGAGCGCGGCGCTTTGGAAGAAGGGAAAGCTGTGGCAACACCGGCAAAAGAGTGGTTTCCTGGGTCTGGGGTCCTGTGAGGAAAAAAGGACTTGTTCAGAAAACACAAAAAAGGAAGTCTGATTTCCACCCCAAAGAAGTCTGTACTATTGCTTCCACTTGTATGCTTCTTCTCAATACAAATATTTGAAACATTGATTCAGAAAACACAGAGATATATAGTTTCTGAGCTACCCTGCAAAAAAAAAGCAGAAAAAAATATGCTTGGATGGATTAAAAGGGACTTTTCCCCTTAAAATATACCCAACAACCTCTACGAAAAGTACATATTCCTCTTACATATAGTCGTGTTTAATTATCATCATCACTGATTCCACTAGTTGTATAAAAAGTCCAGATTGTTTTGGTTTGAGTGTTGGAGAGATCAGCTATAGAAATGTATTTCTTCTCTTCTATCAATACTCAGCTTTAGGTGCTCAAATGTCGAAGAAAAACACCAATGGCGCATTGAGAAAGTTGGGGAATGAAGCTTTTGAAAAACTGGGTCATGGTTTCTCGTAATAAACATTGCTGTTGAGTTTTTTTTAAATGTATTTTTCTGGCGTTTTGAGCACCATCTAGTTCAATGATATTGAAGAGAAGGCGGACATCTACACAGAAAATGTATTGATAAAAAGCAATAAGACGATAGAATGTATTTGCAATAAAACAGGTTAGTTTATATGAGTGTGTGTGTGTGTGTGTGTGTGTGTGTGTGTGTGTGTGTGTGTGTGTGTGTGTGTGTGTGTGTTGTGTGCGTTGTACCTGTGATCTGAGCGTAGGAAGATGTCCAGATGAGGCCCTCCTCTGCCCAGAGGGTCGTCCGGCACCATGAAGTGATCCCCCACAAACGTGTACTGAAGAAGTCTGAAAGGGGAGGAAACGTGGTATTAAGGAGATTTAAAATGAGCGTAAAGAAGACATAATAATAGGCTTTATTTGTGTAGCACCTTTCATGGGAGTTTGCTGTTCTAAGATGTATTTATATTCAGAGAAAGATAGTCAGAAATGTCACTTTAGTTGTTTTAATAACCTCTTTTTGATGATTTCCCTCCACACCAGGGACTCGTCTGAAAGGTCTCTCAGGTTGTCGTTAGTGACGATCACTCCGTCTGATTTTTGCGCGAGCTGCAGCATCAATCTGTGGAAAAAGGCGGGAATACATATTTTAAAAACAGCCTTGAGACAAACCTTACATCTTTAGATTGTTGACGCCACACAGTGGGGCTTTTAAAAAGTGATGAATGACCGAATAGCAACAATAATGCATATCCCCAATTCCCCATGCTGCAACCTGATCCTAACGAGGCTCAAATATACTTGAACCAGAGAGATGGCATATTAAAAAAGATCACATTTTGATTGTGGTGTGAATGCGTTCTATTTCCACAAATGCAATGCACAAAGGAGATGCAGGAGCTACTTAAAATGCAACAAAATATACTGTAGTCTAAATAATAATGGGTTAAGCTTGCTGGTGAAAAATCTCCAAAAATCCTAAAAGCAAAAACACATGTTTACGGTTTATTTATTTATTTGGTTTGTTATTTTATCTTTTCTGGATTACCATTTACCTCTTTTATGTATTTGTTTGTTTATTTATCTATTTATTTATTTGTTGTTTGTTTTTCAATAATAAATGTATTTCTTTAAGAAAGGGGGGAAAAAAAGTTAATATTTTAGTTTTTGGGAGAAGGGGTGGGATTAAATAAGTGTAAACTTCTTCCCATCCCTCCTCGGATGTGTAAATAGATTATTTGTTTGTATATCATTTAGAATCAGTAATATTTTTATATATCAATTTGACACTGCTTAGTTTGGTATAATATAATAATTCTCATGTTAAATGTCATTATAATAATAATTTTTTTGTATTATTGTTTTACACATTCGAAATAAATCTAATCAACTAAAGAAAATCTACAAATGGGGCGACGCCTGCGAGCTAGTTCAGGCAGTCAACTCGAGCACTTGCATTCATACATAACGCCCCGTGCCACTCTACAACCAACCAAACAGACTCTCCTTAATATGCCGCTCTATTTAACCTGCCAGATATCTCTCTATGCATTGCTTGCTGCTGCTATTGCTGCAGCTACTTCCACGTCGCTGCTGCTCGCCTGCCCCACCACCACCCCAGCTTCCACCCCAGCTTCCACTCCTGCTTCCACCCCAGCTTCCACCTCAGCTTCCACCCCAGCTTCCACCTCAGCTTCCACCCCAGCTTCCACCTCAGCTTCCACCCCAGCTTCCACCCCTGCTTCCACCCAGAGATGGGGACTCGAGTCTGTGACTCGGACTCGAGTCGCACTTAAGTCGCACACACAGAGACTTCAGACTTGACTTGGACTTCTGCTCAAAAGACTTCGGACTCGACTTGGACTCGTGTTTTGGGACTCGTGAACAATCATTGTGTTTTCTATTTTTGGCGTATTAAAGGTGGGGTAGGTAAGTTTGAGAAACCGGCTCGAGATCGCTAGAGAATTTGAAAATACACAACCGGAGAAAATCTGCCACTTCCTCACAGAGCCCCTCCTCCAACACACACGAACGCGCACATGACCAATGAGGGCACAAGATAAGTTTGTGCCCCGATGGCAGGCTGACAGGCAGTTAGGCCATCCAGTTATTTTAGCCGGGCCGGCTATCGGGATGTTAAGAGCATTCCATGGAATATAACAAAAAGTGTATCTCGAGCCGGTTTCTCAAACTTACCTACCCCACCTTTAACATTAACATTAACATCATGGTAACACCATGGCGACCGGAGGCACACCTGCAGCTGTACCGCTTGTAATTAGGTTCAACTATAAACACTTCGAACAAAACGCCGGCGGCAGCAACAAAAGGAGCGCACACTGCAAAGTCTGCAATATTAAAATCAAGGATGCTGGTGCAACAACGTCAAATGTCATCAGGCACTTGAAAACTCACCCGGAGAGGTCAGTCACATTAACGCATATGGACGGTTAGCAAACATGTTTAGCTCAGCATCAGCTATGTAATGTTAACTTAGCTTGCTACTAGCTTTGTAACTGAATATTTGAAAAGATGAGTGAATGTTTGCTTGTCACACTTGTTTGCGTTGAGTGGCGTTGACATCCAACTCTTGACATGACATAAAAAAGGTCGGTAACGTTAATCATTACGTTCCGCTGCCACCATCTACTGGCTAACGTTAAACGTAGAAAAATACATAGTTACATACATAAATACATCTGTTGGTTTATAGGCAGGTTACAGGTTTATTGTTGACCACGTAACGTTAATGTTACAGGTTTATCAGGTTACCATTACACTGGGTTTGAGTGAGAGGATAGAGGAATATGTTTATTTATAGTAGACTTAAAAGATGTCATTAGAGACCCAGTGTAATTAAACAATACGGCTGCAGAGGTCAAACTGGCCAAATGGCTAGCCTAGTGAATGTTGAAATGTTACCAGCCACTCAATAGATTGCCATTGTTATTTGTGGCTGGTGCGTGCAACATACAGTACCAGCCACTTGCATGATTTACCAGCATCTGGCTGGTAAATGGTGTTAATGGTAGATATCTCTTTTGGAACAGGTCATGTTTTAATATCACCAGTTCAGTATATTTCAGATAATATTGCAGCAATAGTTTTTTAGTTGCAAATGGCACAGAACAAATGTTTACTTTGAAGTACTTTTAACACAGTTTCCCTGCGGGGGATTAATAAAGTATTTGTGATACTGATTTCTGATTCTGAAGTGTTTTGCTTATAAGTTGTTTGCATTTAGCTAAAGTGTGATGTTTGTCCTCATATTGCAATGGCCTGTTTAAAGTGATGATCATATAACAACTAATCAGTACTGATACTGTATGCTAATAGATATAGGAGTGATAATAATACAGTAAATGCTTTGAATGTCTTAGATATAGCTGTGCAATATTCTTAACAGACTGGATAGCAGCAGACAATAGAAGGCTTATTACAACCAGAAGAGACATGATGAGACTTTTATTTTTTAGAGACTTGAGACTTGACTTGGACTCGTGACCAAAGACTTGAGACTTGATCAAGTCTCACCCCACAAAGACTTGAGACTTGACTTGGACTTGCAAAAAAAGACTTGTGAACATCTCTGCTTCTACCCCACCACCACCCCTGCTTCCACCCCTGCTTCCATCCCAGCTTCCACCCCAGCTTCCACCCCACCACCACCCCAGCTTCCACCCCAGCTTCCACCCCACCTCCACCCCTGCTTCTACCCCGCTTCCACCCCTGCTTCCACCCCAGCTTCCACCCCTGCTTCCACCCCAGCTTCCACCCTGCTTCCACCCCAGCTTCCACCCCAGCTTCCACCCCAGCTTCCACCCCTGCTTCCACCCCAGCTTCCACCCTGCTTCCACCCCTGCTTCCACCCCAGCTTCCACCCCAGCTTCCACCCCAGCTTCCACCCCTGCTTCCACCCCAGCTTCCACCCCAGCTTCCACCCCAGCTTCCACCCCACCTCCACCCCTGCTTCTACCCCTGCTTCCACCCCATCTTCCACCCCTGCTTCCACCCCAGCTTCCACCCCAGCTTCCACCCCAGCTTCCACCCCACCTCCACCCCTGCTTCTACCCCTGCTTCCACCCCTGCTTCCACCCCAGCTTCCACCCCAGCTTCCACCCCAGCTTCCACCCCAGCTTCCACCCCAGCTTCCACCCCACCTCCACCCCTGCTTCTACCCCTGCTTCCACCCCATCTTCCACCCCAGCTTCCACCCTGCTTCCACCCCACCTGTAGGCTCGGGGGGTTAGTTATTTAATCATCACTCATGGTGCTATGTATATCTGTGGAGTGATGAGGCCCAAACTCAACTATATGCTGCTTCTAATAAACACGTTAAAGAAACACGTGAGTTGTCTGACTGAAATACAAATAATGACTGATTTTGAATATTTCTGTATTTACTTAACTTGTTTAAGTTATTAGTGTTGATCTGAAGATGGTGTGTACCTGTCGTCGTAGGAGCTGATCCTCTTGCCCTGCACCTCTCTGGACGGGGTGTAGGAGACCAGGCCGAGGTTCTGCAGCTCGGTCAGATAGTGCTGCTCTGAGAGGACGAACAACCAGAGCCGTGTTTAGTCTGCGCTTCATCAAATATAAAGCAGCACACATGCATGGAAGAGCCTTCGTCATTTCAAAACACACAACGCATTGAACGATGAGAGCTACACTGCAAAAACAAGCGTCCGAAATGTTAGAAAGAGAATCTAGAAACTCAATTAATTCATACTTTTTTTAAAGGACACTTATATTGTCACTGCATTTAACAAATCACCACCTGTTCAACACTGCATTCAACCTCTGACCCCCCCCCCCTCTTTTCTGTTTTGTATTTTTCTTCGTTTTTTGTTTTATTCTCTGTCTAAGCGTCTTTGAGTTTTTAGAAAAGTGCTATACAAGTGTCATGTTTTATTATTATGTATTATTATTGTATTATTTATTGGGGTTTCAGTTTTCTATAAATCTTGTCAACTTTACATTATATGTTTTGTATATTATGATCTCTAATATATCACATTTTAAAATGCAACATTATATGCAGTAAATGGGATGAAACATGTACATCTAAATAATAAATAAACATGTATTTTATAACTAATCCATTGTTGGGTTACCTGATCTACATAAAATGATAAAATCTTTTTTGATATACATTTTTAGTGTAAAGAATCCCTCGATATAGCCTTTCAAATGTTGTGCTTTCCTGTTTTTTTGTTTCATGTGATTGGAAATTGATTATTTTGGGGTGTTAGTCAGAGAAAAACAACAAATTGAAGACACTTAAATGGAATTAAAGAAATGTTTGACATTTTACAGCCCAAATTGAATGATATTATGTAATTATAAGACTAATTCATGATGAAAATAATGTACACGTTGTAGGGGAAAAGCACTGTTTGCTACTGTTATCTTATACTGTTGGAACTGTGCATGACCTTGCAGGTGCCTCCTGTCTTAGGTGCACGACTCGATTCATTTGTTTATCCAAGGAAAAGAGACTGTTCTCTCCTGCATTTCCTAAGTGGGCAAAAAACAACATTCCAGGTTAGACTGCTGTCTTTCCCCATCTGTTGCCAACCTGATTTTATATAAGTGTAACGTGACTTTCTGAGTTGAAGCTAATCTCTGTAGGGGATTTAAATCTGCTCCTTCTTGCAAGAATACATTGTGACCTAATCATTGATTCTCAAGCCGGTGTCGAGTGATATTTTTCCTGTTACACGTCAATACGTTAGTTTCCATAACATACATTTCAAATATCAGGTTTATATCAGCGGTTCCCAACCTGTGGGCCGCGGCAATTAATTTGCAAAACATTATGATTTGTGTGGAAACATTTTCATTATTAAGATTTTTTTTTTTATTTGAACCGCCTTTCTTTTCTCGATCCTCCTTAGCAACGGTCATTACAGTCCTTGACAGCGGTCTGTCTGTACTACTGGATTAACAACGTGTCACATGTTCTGAATTGACCAATCGGAACTTTATTTAGCCTCCATATTGTTTATGGTTGAATGTGGGCTGCGAACAATTTTTTGATTCTTAAGTGGGCCCTGAGATGAAAAAGGTTAGGAACCGCTGAGGAACAGGAAGTGATACCTTTGTTTTTAGGGTCGCTCTTCTGTCTCCACTGAGGCAGCAGGGCGCTGATGTGACGATGGCCTCGATCCCAAAAGTGCTGGACGGCCAGAGCGATCCCTCGACAGGAGAAGAAGTGACCCAACCCGTGACTGGAAACACAAAATGTAGAGTTAAACAGAGCTAGAGTTCTAGGAAGTTAAACGGTTCAGATCAATTATTTCCTACCTCATCGCCACATTGCTCCCGTCGATGACGATCGTCCTCACGTTTGGGTCACCAGGTTGGTCTTTTAGCTTCAGATCGAAAGGCATCTGAAGGCCTTCCAGGAAACGCTGCTCCCCCGTCACCACGACTGAGGAAGCGGCCATGAAGCCTTGCTTTTCCCTCGCTTTGATGGGAGGCAAATCATGGATTGGGAAGATGGGGTTTTGAGGAACTTGGAAAGCTTGTTTTAAGGGTTTGAAGGAATGGGGCTTTGAGTTGAGGGCAGGTTCTTGGGTTGGATGCTTTTGTCTGGACGTTGATGGATTCTGCCATAAGTGATTTCGACCATGTTGTATGTTGGATTGGTTAAAGGTGGGTGGATGATCAAAAGATGAAGGATATGTGGGCATGGGTGGCCCTTTGACTTCAGGAAGGCAGACTTGATATGGCGAGTTTGTGTGTTTATAGAATATGAACTCGGCTTCAGGTGATTTCGGCACTTCTCCCCATCCTTTATCATCAGATTTTCTTTTAACTGCAGGCATAAAAGCTCCATTTCCTTTGCTTTGTCCTCAGATGGTGGCACTGTTGGTTCTTCTTTCTCTATCACCACATCGTCCATCTCTCTTGGTACTTTACCTAAGGCAACCAACTCTTTGCTCTCCTCTCTCTGCAGCTCCAGGATCAGCTGGTGAGTGGATCCATCCGGCAACATGTTGTAGAGTTTGGTCACTTTCTGCTCCGTGTACCCACAGCTGGCTGCCGCTTTCTTCACCACCCCCAGAACAAAGTCTTCCTCGTGCCCTTTCTCTTTCTCCTTGGGTCGATCTCTTCCCGTTGCTCCAGCTTCATTGAACTCGGAACTACTCATCAACACATCTCCTCCTGATACTTCCATTTCTTCTTCTTCTCTGTGCTCTGTCTCGCAAGGTCGGTTCCTCTCGCTTCGGTTGGATTCATCGCCGTCTTGAGTTTTCTTCCCCTCCTCATGGTCACTGCGATTCTGCTCCTGTTGAACAACGTCCAGTATCTGTGACGCCTCTTTAGGTCCCGTTCGGGCAAGGACTCTCTTAACAATCTCCTCTGTGTACCCCATGGCTGTGAAGAACTTTAAAAGAAGCAAGAACTCTTTGTTTCCCACTGACAACAGCACTTCCTGTTCTTCATCCTCCCCTTGTACGTCTTTCACCTCTGTACTTATTGATGCTGCTTCGCTTTGTCCTACAACCTCTTGTGGAGAAAGCAGAAGTCTTTCGTCAGCACCCTCTGCCAATCCTCGGGACCCTGAAGACAACAACTGGAATGAGGAAGCGGCAGAGTCTTTACCAGAAGCTGAAGTCATCCCTTCAACCCAACGATCAGGAGACTCTGGGAGTTTGTACGTAACGGACGAAGGTTTGTCCCATCTAACCCCCGAATCCTCGAGTGATCTAGCCCCAGCGTTTCCATCTGTAAGATCTGGAGTAGGGTTTGATCCAAGCCCCGATTCTATTACCAACTCCAGCAGGATTTCCTTCACTAATGCCGGGAGAACCAGAAGATCCAGGATGTGTTTATCCTCCCAATTCTCCACCAGGCTTTTGAAAGCCCGCCGTGAATCCAGAGTCTCGCCCATGCCTCTGTCTGTAGTCTCAGAGCGTCTGGACTGTGTGCCTTCGTACCGCTCCACCATGTCTGTAATGAGGGAGTAGGCTCGAACAACCGGCTCTGCAAGACCGGAGATAAGCAGGAATCCGGTAGAGCCAACCTGGTTTAGATTAAAGAAAAACAGAATTTTATTTTTTTTAGTTAGTTAGTTAGGTAGTTAGTTAGTTAGTTAGTTAGTTAGTTAGTTAGGTAGGTAGGTAGGTAGGTAGGTAGGTAGGTAGGTAGGTAGGTAGGTAGGTAGGTAGGTAGGTAGGTAGTAGGTAGGTAGGTAGGTAGGTAGGTAGGTAGGTAGGTAGGTAGGTAGGTAGGTAGGTAGGTAGGTAGGTAGGTAGGTAGGTAGGTAGGTAGGTAGGTAGGTAGGTAGGTAGCATAAAAAACAAGGCAATGTACATAAGAGACATTTAGAAGTTTATAATCCTATAAACCAGGATTTTACAATGATTTAAGACAAAGCAAGATCTGAAGGCAAGGTCTAAGAAGTACTGGTTTGAGGGTGTGGTGGTATTTTAATCTCAACACAGTCTTTACTTAAATATAAAATGTTTGAATGTGAAAGTAATCAAACAGACTCGAAGAGATCCCACAGTCACCTCAATACAGAACTATTGAGTGTTATTAGTATTAGCGTTTACTCTGTACTGGTTTATTTTTACACAAACAATTGTGGTCAAGCAAACCAAGCATTGGAGATAACTCTTGGAAAAAAAGCTGCATTTTAATGAGCAGTCGGGGGCGTAGGCATCTTTTCCATAAGGTCATTGTAACCCACACAGATTTCTTAAAGCTGTATGTGGCTAATACTTTGTTTCTGATGTTGAGTTTAACCCATTCATTTTGATTACACATGTTTACACATCTAAACTGTTGGGATTGGGGGGTTTTCTCCTACAAACTCACCTAAAATGACTCTCTTGAGCCTACTTTCACATAGGTAAACATTGGTACTTTAGAATATTGACATCTAAGTGAGCCCATCATGTCTTTGGAATAAAATAACCAGATGAGTCGAGTTAATAAACCCTTTACTGGTTATTCCTATGAAAAGTTGAGACACATTAAAAAGGGATTCCCAGGAAATGTTTGCAATAACTACTAAAAATAGCTTATAAATTCCCAGTTGCAACATCACAGTTACATGAGGAGGCATCTGTTACTTCATAGCGGGTATGACACATTGTTAGCTGATGACATTGACAAATAATGTAAAATCTTGGAGGATTAATAATGCAAGGTACCACATTATTAGTCAATATCATTATTGCAACACTAGTTAAAAATGACACTGGCAGGGGATTTGTGCAATAAAAGAAAAGAGTGAATTCCTGTTAGGAGTCATTACCCTGTAAATGTTAACACGTAGACAAGAAAGTAGGCTATTTTATTATATGTACAGCACCAAAAATCGTTTATAAATATGCTATATAAATAAAACTTGATTTGATTTGATCCCCTCTTGAGTCCAAAGTAAATACATTCCTTCTAAAAAATCACAACACACACACATATAACTCCAAAACTAGCCTAATAAATATCACATTTTGAGTTTCGTTTGATATAAAAATCATTTGTGATAGTTATCTTCACATCCATGGTCACGATGCTAACAAGTAATGCTAACAGCTAATTGAGCTTACTTTTAGGAAGGCAGGATATTTAGGTTTAAAGTCGTATAATACATATTCTCACTTTTACGTTTCTCCTGCCTTATTGGGAAAATAGAAAACACGGTAGCCTATTGATTACCCAGCATCATAGGTGGGAAGTAGTGGAGTACAAATACTTTGTTAATGTACTTAAGTACATTTCTCTGGTATTAGTACTTTACTCCACTACTTATTTCTCCTGACGACTTTTTACTTCTTACATTTTGAACTCAAATACCTGTACTTTCTACTTCTTACATGTTGAACACAAATACCTGTACTTTCTACTTCTTACATGTTGAACACAAATACCTGTACTTTCTACTTCTTACATGTTGAACTCAAATATCTGTACTTTCTACTTCTTACATGTTGAACTCAAATATCTGTACTTTCTACTTCTACATGTTGAACACAAATACCTGTACTTTCTACTTCTTACATGTTGAACTCAAATACCTGTACTTTCTACTTCTTACATGTTGAACTCAAATACCTGTACTTTCTACTTCTTACATGTTGAACTCAAATACCTGTACTTTCTACTTCTTACATGTTGAACTCAAATATCTGTACTTTCTACTTCTTACATGTTGAACCCAAATACCTGTACTTTCTACTTCTTACATGTTGAACACAAATACCTGTACTTTCTACTTCTCACATGTTGAACACAAATACCTGTACTTTCTACTTCTTACATGTTGAACACAAATACCTGTACTTTTCTACTTCTTACATGTTGAACTCAAATACCTGTACTTTCTACTTCTTACATGTTGAACACAAATACCTGTACTTTCTACTTCTTACATGTTGAACACAAATACCTGTACTTTCTACTTCTCACATGTTGAACACAAATACCTGTACTTTCTACTTCTTACATGTTGAACACCAATACCTGTACTTTCTACTTCTTACATGTTGAACACAAATACCTGTACTTTCTACTTCTTACATGTTGAACACAAATACCTGTACTTTCTACTTCTTACATGTTGAACCCAAATACCTGTACTTTCTACTTCTTACATGTTGAACCCAAATACCTGTACTTTCTACTTCTCACATGTTGAACTCAAATACCTGTACTTTCTACTTCTTACATGTTGAACCCCAATACCTGTACTTTCTACTTCTTACATGTTGAACACAAATACCTGTACTTTCTACTTCTCTCATTTTCCAAACAGCTGGTTCCTTTAGTCTGAATGTGTGTTTGATGCGTGATCATTATTCTTTAGAGTCATTGCGTGCCTATTGATTTGAACACGATCCGTGTATCCATCATTTCCTGGTCTTCTCTAAAGAAGAGGGACCAATGAAAACGTTGTCATGTTGCCGTTGTTCAGCATGGAAACACATTAGCTAACAATGACATTTTAAAACAGCTGCTAGTTATGGGTACTTTTTACTGAAGTACATTTCAAAGCCTCTTTACTTTCACTTGAGTAAAGAAGTGTCGTCAGTACTTCTACTTTCACCAGAGCATTTTTAAACACGAGTATCTGTACTTCTACTTGAGTAAAGGATGTGTGTACTTTTGCCATCTCTACCCAGCATGCAACACTCACCACTATATGTGCGGAGGTGCTTTTGGTCAGGCAGTCCATGAACAGCCCTCTGGCTCCACTGAAGATGCAGTGCAGCGCTCCGGGGTACGAGAGCTCCTTCTGCTCCTCCTGGTTCACCAGCCCTTTCACAAATAACTACAAAACAGAAATATTCATTAACATTATCGTGTAGGTAAAGTATTCCTGTAACAGTGGTGAAAGTACTGCAGTATTAGTACATCATGTAAATATTATGTGTCCATTATGGGGTGGGAAGAATTATCATAGCATTCAAATTCATTGTTCTTATTCTTATTATTGTTATAAGATGCTTGATGGTTTATCTTTTTTCACTGTACATTTTACGTGTATATTTTATTTAATATGCCACTTTTAAACACTAATTCTTTAATTTTCTTCTAATTATGTGCAATATTTCTTTTACATGCTGCTGCAATGAAGAAATGTCCCTATTTGGGATTAATAAAGTATATCTTATCTTATTATTAACAATATATACTGTATAAAGGAACATCTACTGTACACCTACATGACAAATAAGCAAACTCTATTGGCACATAGTGTTTTTTAGATGTAGTGTCAAATCAATAATATTAAATAAAGCAGATTTAAAATAGTCCGTTGTTAGATAGCAAAATATAATGTAAGAAAAAAACTATAAAATACAAGATTTAAAGATAAAAACGATTGTTTCTAGGTTGTTTCATTATTTATTTTTTTACTGTCAGACAGAGTTGGGTCTCTCGAGTAAACAGGAAACATGACCTGGTTGTTATTGTCCTGTTATTGTGCAAGTCACATGTTGCTCAGTTCAGCACTCAACGAGTAACAATGACCACCAACACAATCCATTCTCCTTTTGTGAGTCACTCTGAACGCTCCTTGTGTCAGCGCAGACATGAGTCTTTAGGCTTGTTTGAGACGCGCTGCGGCTCGCCTCGAAAGTAGACGAGAATAGCCGATCGCAGCCGGGGGAGGTCTCAAAAAGCTCGCCTGAAGTCGGACAGCTCGGAGTCGGCTTCGTCTTCTTCTTCTTCTTTCGGTTTTTTGGCGGATTGCAAACAACTTTAAGGTGCATACCGCCACCTCCGGAGTCGGCTTGACTCGGTTTGCATTTATAAAGAATGCACACATGTGTTTAATCGTTAATGTCAGATATGTACTAAGTAAATACATTTGTTCCTGCTCAAGATTAGATTCAACTTTATTGTTATTGCACATATTACAGGTACTGAGACAACGAAATGCAGTTTAGCTTCTAACCAGGTGCAACAAGCAGTAAAGTGAAAAGTAATGTACACAATCTACAGAATAAAATATAGAATGAATTGAACGATGAATAAACAGTGAGGGGTATGAATACACTAGATATCAGCCTGTGAGCAGTATGAACAGTGTGTATGAATATGCTAAGATATATAAAGTATGAAAACGGTAAGCAGTGCAAGTATAGTATAAAATATATGATGAAAAATGTGAATGGAAGTGCACGACGTAAAACAACAACAAAATTTTGCCGAGCCAATTGGAGAGTTTCATCAACAGCACGTGGTAAAAACCACCAATGAGCGCTCAGCTCGAGATACCAGCGAGTCGTTTCCCATCAAGCATTTCGCTTCCGCAGCCCGTGGGAGGAGGAACTGCGCCGCCTCGCCGCGCCTCGCTCTCAAGGCTGCGGGCGTCTTTGTCCCGCGAGATTTCAACGTCTCACGTAGGCGGGCCTCCAGAGCAAGTCGGACAAAATGACTAACCATCATGCAACGCACGAGCAAGACGTTGATCGAAATTGCGCAGGTCTCGCTTGTTTCAAACAAACCTTTTAAGTGCTCAGGAGGCTAACCCTCAAGTTTAAAGGTCACCTATTATGCAAAATCCACTTCTTCATGTCTCTTCTACATCAACATGTGTCCCCTCTTCTTCATGTCTCTTCTACATCAACATGTGTCCCCTCTTCTTCATGTCTCTTCTACATCAACATGTGTCCCCTCTTCTTCATGTCTCTTCTACATCAACATGTGTCCCCTCTCTTCATGTCTCTTCTACATCAACATGTGTCCCCCTCTTCTCCATGTCTCTTCTACATCAACATGTGTCCCCTCTTCTTCATGTCTCTTCCACATCAACATGTGTCCCCTCTTCTTCATGTCTCTTCCACATCAACATGTGTCCCCTCTTCTCCATGTCTCTTCTACATCAACATGTGTCCCCTCTTCTTCATGTCTCTTCCACATCAACATGTGTCCCCTCTTCTTCATGTCTCTTCTTCATCAACATGTGTCCCCTCTTCTTCATGTCTCTTCTACATCAACATGTGTCCCCTCTTCTTCATGTCTCTTCTACATCAACATGTGTCCCCTCTTCTTCATGTCTCTTCTACATCAACATGTGTCCCCTCTTCTTCATGTCTCTTCTACATCAACATGTGTCCCCTCTTCTTCATGTCTCTTCTACATCAACATGTGTCCCCTCTTCTCCATGTCTCTTCTACATCAACATGTGTCCCCTCTTCTTCATGTCTCTTCCACATCAACATGTGTCCCCTCTTCTTCATGTCTCTTCCACATCAACATGTGTCCCCTCTTCTCCATGTCTCTTCTACATCAACATGTGTCCCCTCTTCTTCATGTCTCTTCCACATCAACATGTGTCCCCTCTTCTTCATGTCTCTTCTTCATCAACATGTGTCCCCTCTTCTTCATGTCTCTTCTACATCAACATGTGTCCCCTCTTCTTCATGTCTCTTCTACATCAACATGTGTCCCCTCTTCTTCATGTCTCTTCTACATCAACATGTGTCCCCTCTTCTTCATGTCTCTTCTACATCAACATGTGTCCCCTCTTCTTCATGTCTCTTCTACATCAACATGTGTCCCCTCTTCTTCATGTCTCTTCTACATCAACATGTGTCCCCCTCTTCTTCATGTCTCTTCCACATCAACATGTGTCCCCTCTTCTTCATGTCTCTTCTACATCAACATGTGTCCCCTCTTCTTCATGTCTCTTCCACATCAACATGTGTCCCCTCTTCTTCATGTCTCTTCTACATCAGCATGTGTCCCCTCTTCTTCATGTCTCTTCCACATCAACATGTGTCCCCTCTTCTTCATGTCTCTTCTTCATCAACATGTGTCCCCTCATCTTCATGTCTCTTCTTCATCAACATGTGTCCCCTCTTCTTCATGTCTCTTCCACATCAACATGTGTCCCCTCTTCTTCATGTCTCTTCTACATCAACATGTGTCACCTCTTCTTCATGTCTCTTCTACATCAACATGTGTCCCCTCTTCTTCATGTCTCTTCTACATCAACATGTGTCCCCTCTTCTTCATGTCTCTTCCACATCAACATGTGTCCCCTCTTCTTCATGTCTCTTCTACATCAACATGTGTCCCCTCTTCTTCATGTCTCTTCCACATCAACATGTGTCTCCTCTTCTTCATGTCTCTTCTACATCAACATGTGTCCCCTCTTCTTCATGTCTCTTCTACATCAACATGTGTTCCCTCTTCTTCATGTCTCTTCTACATCAACATGTGTCCCCTCTTCTTCATGTCTCTTCTACATCAACATGTGTCCCCTCTTCTTCATGTCTCCTCTACATCAACAGGGGCCCCTCTTCTTCATGTCTCTTCTACATCAACATGTGTCCCCTCTTCTTCATGTCTCTTCTACATCAACATGTGTCCCCTCTTCTTCATGTCTCTTCTCCATCAACATGTGTCCCCTCTTCTTCATGTCTCTTCTACATCAACATGTGTCCCCTATTCTTCATGTCTCTTCTACATCAACATGTGTCCCCTCTTCTCCATGTCTCCTCTACATCAACATGTGTCCCCTCTTCTTCATGTCTCTTCTACATCAACATGTGTCCCCTCTTCTTCATGTCTCTTCTACATCAACATGTGTCCCCTCTTCTTCATGTCTCTTCTACATCAACATGTGTCCCCTCTTCTTCATGTCTCTTCTACATCAACATGTGTCCCCTCTGTGTAAAGAGACTCTGAAAGTTTCAGGAACAAAGATTCTCTCTCTTTTTGATCCATTTCTATAAAAACCTGTCTGAAAATGAGCTGATCAGATTTTGGCCACTTTATGATGTCATAACGATGTTTTGGCTTGAGTAACCATTAGCCAATCAGCAACCAAGGTAACCCCCCCCCCCAAATATCATATCATATATCACAATTATTTAAACAAAAGCAGAGTAAAGCGCTTCATTAGAACAAATGACAGTAAAACATGGACAATGATACTAGAAAGAAAAATGGAAAGTTAACCCAAATGAAAAGCCATATTAAAAAGATGGGTTTTAAATTAGCTTTTAAACATTTCAAGGGAGTTTGCTGTTCTAAGATCCACGCACAATCAGATCACTTCGTCCACCACTGGATCTGTAAATAAAGAGATCTGAACGTACTTTTGCCGATTTTACGTCGTTGCTCCTCCCTCGTAGTTTCAGCCATATCTGCCCGTTGTTGTCCATCGATAAATCGTCCGCTCCGATCCCAAACGTCACCCTGAAGATCCGCTCCACGGTGCCGTGCAGCGAGGCCAGAGATCCACGAAGCATCCCAGCACACGCAAACTCATCCTCCACCTCTGCTTCTCCACCTCCATCACTCCGCTCACAGTCCATGCCTTGGTCTCAAATAAGCTTCAAAGTGTCCGACATACTGCAAAACATGAATCAAACACAGAGTGAACACAAGGGGGGAAACTAAGACTGCTTCGTGGTCTCATGTCTTAATGTTTACCAGGAATAAAGCACAACAGCATACATTTTATGAGTGTGCTATAAGTTGACCTACTTTCTTACTTTTTGTACGCAGATTTGCTTTTGTTGTTACCTGTTCCTCGTGGATTTACTCAAATATGTAGTCTTGTGTTGCATTATGTTGTGTTAAAACTCAATAATTGCCCTATAGCCATATTTATCCGTCCTTGTTTATTTTTGGCTATTACATCTTTTAACATGTTAAAATACTGATGTCAATAATCATAATTAACAACCATAGTATACTGTTAAAGCTTCTTCGTATTATCCAGGACCCCTCGGCATTAGATAATACAGACGTTTGGTTTCGCCTACTCATGCAGTGCTATGCAAATGTATTGTTTATGTTTTACTGTATAAAATAAGTGCAAACATTGTATTATGTACTGTATAAAGAGCTGGCCCCATATTGAACCTCTAATATTTACCAAGCCAAGTTGCTAAGCTGCTGGTTGTCCAAACAAACAATAGCACTGCTTTATTCTCTGCCACTGCATTTAAATCTTACTCTGAGTAACTTTACTTGTCAAAATAAGGCAGTGGAGTAAAAAATACACTGATGTACTACATTTAAGAAGCATAACACGAGTACTTTCCCTCACTTTGCCCTGATGTGAATACCTTTAAGACATGTAAACACACTTGCAGTGTCTCTCCACTCATAGCTTATTATGAGTGATATAATATATTTACTCAAGTACTGTACTGAAGTACAATTTTGAGGGACTTTACTCTAATATTTTTGCCAATTTGTACTTCTACTCCACTCAAGAGGTAAATCTGTGTACTTTTACTCCACTACATGTATTTAATACCTTTAGTTACTTGACAGATGTGATGAATGATGTGAAATATAATCAAGTGTTAAATTAGACTTTAGTTCCACCTGGAGTAAATTCTACCTGCAGTATACAAAGTCATTACAACTAGCTGCACCTTTACCAGCTTTGAGAACACTATTATTCTGAAATGGACCAATCTTCACAATTACTACTTTTACTTTTGGTACTTTAACTATATTTTGATGATAATACCTTTGGACTTTTACTTGAGTGACATTTTGAATGCAGGGCTTTTACTGTAACGGAGTATTACTACACTCTGGCAAGGCAAGTTTATTTATAGGCCTATAGCACACTTCAACACAAGGCAGTTCAAAGTGCTTTACAAAAATGATAGACATTAAGAGCATTAAGAAACATATTATGAAATGATATTTAAAAACACTCATTTAAACGCACTGGTATAAAATGGTACTTCTACTTTTACTCAAGTACAAGATCTGAGTAGTCTTTCCACCTCTGCCTTTAAACCATATAAACAAGAGTGTGTGTTTTTATTAATATATCTTGTTTGCCTGCTGCTATTTTTCAACCACACTCGATTCACAGAAAACACGGAGAGAAATGGTGTAACGAGCGTAAAGAACCAAACATGGCCCGGTAAAACGGAGTGTTTTGACGCACATATGCTCATAAAAACACGTGTTTCAGCAGAGACAGAGGAAGGAAGCAGATCGAAGACATGTTATGGTTTTAAAAGAGCATTTAAATATAATAAATATGACATTTTTCCGTGTTGTTTTCTTACGTGAGCTCGATCCTTCCTCCCGAGTTTCGTTTCCAGCTGCTGTGTTGGAGGCGGATCATAAAAACAACAACATACGTATCGGAGCGAAGTTCACTGCGCGTAAAATAAAGCGAGATGATCGCAGAGGAAGCAGAGAAAGAGGGGATTGTGGAAATAAAATGACGGAAGAAAGACCGGATGAGGAAGCCTCAGAAAAACCCCGAAGACAAACCGAAACCAAACGAAACAACAGCTCATCTGATCCAGGGCGGTTCTTCTGGACAGAGACGGAATAAAGTCGCTGCAACACCAACATGATATTTCCCAACAATCACACACATTCAAAATGCACCTGTGGACCATTTTACCGTGTTAAAATGTCTATAAATCCCCCAAAATCACACATATTTCCTTACTGGTAGCTTCATCTGCATTTATTTTACATATATGAGTTTTATTATAGCTCATAAAACGTTTGAAAGTGTCATTTTATTATAGAAAATGTTATGTTGCACTGGGTTCAAGTGGGGATTTCCACTGACGTCAGAAGCGGGGGTTTTCTGACTTTATTTTTGTTTAACCCTTGGTTGACTCAATAACAGAGGAGCTTTGTTAAAAAGAGACTTTATTTAATTTGTAACACGTTTTTGCTGGATACGTCCTTATTCAGTAGATTAGAAACATATTTTATCTTGTAACTTTCATCTGTTTACTTCCTTAGTTGTCTGTGTAAAAGTCAGAAAGTGGTTTGTCATCTCCTACATCCGGGCATTACTGTCAGGGTGACATTTAGCATTTAAATTGTAATATTGACTTTTTTTCCAACATTTTCATTATCAGATTATATATGTGTTTATTTTATTGTATCCTATTTTATTTTATTTTTAGATATTTAATATTTTACTATCATCATTTTTTTGTCCTGCAAAATTGTGTTTATTTAACTTTTGTGGGGAATTTGCACTCAAGGATCATTAAAGTTATGTCCTAATATATACATAATTGATTTCCCTATTATGTATTATAAATCTGAAACTACTTAAAGTTATCAAATAATACAGTAAAGAGCACAGTAAAGGTCACATGAAACTGTAGTGTCAAGTGACCTCATTGCAGAGCAGGTGATTCTATTGCGTCACGTATTCCAGGTAATAGTCAGTGGTTTTAATAAACCCTACCCATTTACTGTAAACCTTTTTTTTAGACTCTGCCCTCTGCTGGCGAAACCTAAAACCATTTCAGGTACTCAAAATATATAAAATATAAAGTCATTTTAAATAAGATTTTTAACTACAATTTGATCATGGTGCCTAAATAATCAGATTTCTCATACATTTCAGATATTTAAACTGTAACTACACTAACATGTGTTACAACCAAGCGCACTCAATGTTCCTTAATTAAAGTACAAATCAAATCATAATCAAAAAACTGTCGGAAATAAAAAAATATTACACTCACAGGGTTAATAAACCGTCACCACACGTGCCTGTTTGCAGAGCAGAAGTGGAAGTGACTTTCACTTCTGGATTTTTCTCATGTTGAAGAGCTGCTGTTGTCAGAAGAGAGTCTCTTAATGAACGACCGGACTTTGACACTCATTCACCTTCATAGGCACCGGTTGTATATCTCTAAGGGTGAGTGGTTTCCCCATTTTGAAAAAAAACACCTTGATATTCTTGTTAGTGTTTCTGTGGTTTGAGTTCATCAGAAAACATTTTTTGTTGTTGCTCCCACCTTTAACTTGTGTTATTTCTCTCATGGCCATGTGTGTCGTGTTAATGCAGATCTGATGTGTTTAGCTGGTGTATTTAACCTTTTTTAAACTAAGCCATAGTATAATGGATACGTTATATAAGCACAAGTGAGCATTTGTGCATTTGACAGGCTTCCTGAACTAGAATGTGGTTTCCTGTTTAAATTCCTGTAACATGTGTCCATCGGTATGAAACCACGGTATGTGTGTAAAAAACACATGAGAGACAAGCAAATATATTTAGTATAACATATATTATTCACAATATTAGGTTCTCATATATTTAAATGCCTTTGGGTTTTAGATTTTTCGTGACAAACAAGAAATGATGGTACATTTCCTCTCCTTTTTGTCATTTTATGAACCAAACAATCGATTTTTTAAGAATAAGAGACAGAGCTCAAGTTTAAATGATTGTTATGTGTGTAGGAAGATATATTTATTCTTCCAAGGAAGTTAATCATATCTAAAAAAAATACAAGAGATACATTTGTAATGATAAGGTGCACCGTGCACATATTATATTTATGACTGTATTTCGTTTTCAAACTGATTTATTAATACTTTAAAATGAAGCTTATTATCAAGTCAACAGAAACATCCAAAGAAGACTTGTTTGTATGTGAATGTGTGTCTCTCTAAAATGTATCAAATGCTACAATTTAATCCTAGGCCGAGATTTCTTGATTTAATGAATGTGATTCAATAATGACTGGAAGTGTAAATTGTAAAAAGCAATTTCCTTTGTAAAAATAATGATATTTAAACACGTTTTCCCTAAAAATATCAGAGTCAGCATGCCTGGCCAACTTGTGAACAATGTGTAAACCTTGTGACCTTAAACCCCTCCCCCCAGATTGTAGATTAAAGGCCCTTTAGGGAAGAGTGGACACTGTGAAATCCAGGAATTAAAGCTGAGGAACAATTGAATTCATTTCTATGGAAGCAAAGTGTTTACATTTGATATCACTTCCTCCTCCAGGGAACCATGGCACTGTCCTGTCAGACTATAGTTATTAAAGAGTCCAGTTTGTCGGGCTGGGACGTGATCGGCTCGGGGGGGTTTTGGAAAATCTATAAATGCCGGCATCAGGAGTGGGCCTGCGATGTGGCCATTAAACTGCTTCACTTTGACGACGGGTGAGTAATTAAAGGCCCCCTATTTATATACTGTTTTTCATCAATATATTATAGGTCTCAGATACACATTTCTGAAGTGATTGGCTCCAAACACCAAACAGATCATTGCAACATTACCCATAATCCCCTCTGTTTCAGCCCTGTTTCCAAAGTGCTGATTCTCTGTCTGTTACTTTAGATGAAAATAAGGAGCCCCTCCCCACGCCCCTCTGAGAGATATTTGGTTAAAAAGAACCTCAATGGTGCTCTAGGAGGAGATTCAGGTGATAAGGTGGGGGGGGGGGGTGGTTACCTTGGTTGCTGATTGGCTAACGGTTACACAAGCCAAAACATCGTTATGACATCATAAAGTGGCCAAAATCTGATCAGCTCATTTTCAGACAGGTTTTTATAAAAATGGATCAGGACGAAAAGAGAGATGTTGATGGAGAAGAGACACGAAGAAGAGGGGACACATGTTGATGTAGAAGAGACATGAAGAAGAGGGGACACATGTTGATGTAGAAGAGACATGAAGAAGAGGGGACACATGTTGATGTAGAAGACACATGAAGAAGAGGGGACACATGTTGATGTAGAAGAGACATGAAGAAGAGGGGACACATGTTGATGTAGAAGAGACATGAAGAAGAGGGGACACATGTTGATGTAGAAGAGACATGAAGAAGAGGGGACACATGTTGATGTAGAAGAGACATGAAGAAGAGGGGACACATGTTGATGTAGAAGAGACATGAAGAAGAGGGGACACATGTTGATGTAGAAGAGACATGAAGAAGAGGGGACACATGTTGATGTAGAAGAGACATGAAGAAGAGGGGACACATGTTGATGTAGAAGAGACATGAAGAAGAGGGGACACATGCTGATGTAGAAGAGACATGAACAAGTGGATTTTGCATAATAGGTGACCTTTATGAGACATGGTCAATTATGCAAATGAGCCATTGTCTGACTCTAATCCAATATATCATCTGCACATTGGATAAAGCCAGGTTTCATTTTGTTAAAGTCAAAGGCTTTTACGAAGTTGATTTGTATACATTTTCGTGTCACAACAACCGTACATTTCTTTATTTTTCCCATTTACTTACAATAATGTTGTATAAATCAGACTATGAAGACCCCTCTGTATAAACTATTAACTAAGGATAGATATTGGAATGAAACTTGAAAGTTTGCACCAGTTTCTGTGGTGGAGATGTCAGACTTTAAAGATAACATGTTGTAAAAATTGCATACAATTTGCAAGGAACTACAGGTAAGGGCAAAAAAACTCAAATGTGTCGCCATGAAACCTCCCCAGTTGATTTCCAAAGGGGCATCGTGGGCTCCAGAGGGTTAACTTTGAGATAATTATCTTTTACTTTTTCTTAAATGTTCAAATTTGCCCATTAAGCATAGTCTAACTAACTTTTGGAGAATTTACCACAAATATACAGATGCAAATTGACATGTTTTTCTTTCCACTAAAGTCTAAAAAGAGATATGTTATGGAAGACAAATTGTTCCAAACTCTGTAGAAACATTTTTGCTGGTGGCGTCTCGCCTTAAAGGTCACCTATTATGCAAAATTCAATTTTTCATGTTTTTTATACAAAAAAGATTCTCTCTCTTTTTGTCCTGATCCATTTCTATAAAAACCTGTCTGAAAATGAGCTGATCAGATTTTGGCCACTTTATGATGTCATAACGATTTGTTGGCTTGCCATTAGCCAATCAGCAACCAAGGTAACAGACAGAGAATCAGCACTTTTGAAACAGAGGGGATTATGGGTAATGCTGCAATGATCTGTTTGGTGTTTGGAGCCAAACACTTCAGAGACATGTATATATCTGAGACCTATAATATATTGATGAAAAACAGTAGGGACCTTTAAATAATGTTGCATATTACTAATAATTACACAAATACGCACACAGGAAGAATGACAGTTTGCTCCGTGAGATCGAAATGATGCGTCAGGCAAGCAGTCCGCACGTTATTCAGGTCCGAGGGGTCTTTAAAGGATTACCCCCCAACTCAAGGTCAACTCAGCTGGGTCTGGTGATGGAGTACATGGAGAGAGGATCCCTGGCCTCCCTGCAGGTAAACACTGGTGGAAGAAGTACTACCTTATAGTTTAGTTGAGTTTATTTGTGTATAGTGTCGTGGACAGTCCCCATTGATCAACTGTCACAAAAACAGTCAATGGGGCAGCTTTAGCCAACATTGCTAATTCCCAGGTGTTGTCCCCGGCCAGATGATAATGGACCATACTTACCAACCCTCCCGATTTTCGCGGGAGACTCCCGATTTCATAGCCCTCTCTCGGTTTCCTCCCGGGGTCATATTTATCCCGCATTTCTCACTTAAAGTGGCACTGTAAAACTCCCCTGTCACAAGTGGGAGCTTTGCACTGAAATAAAGACAAATATGGTAAAGAAAAAATTAAACTATGGAAGCCCATTGGGGACAAAAAAAACGGACAATGCAAACTTGAAAATGAAAAAGTTCACTTCACGTTGGCATTATACTTTTCCGCATATGTACATGTTTTTGAAAAGATTTGGGAAATGCAGCAGAATAAAAAACAAGGCAATGAGAAAGAGAAATTAAGACACTAGAAATAAACAGTCCAAAATATTTCTGAAATAGAATAGCATTAAAAAGTTATGTGGAAAATATACATGTAATACAAAAGGATATTATTGTTTTAACAAGTTATACATGTAACAATGGAAACTCTGTCACAGGGAAGTTTAGGCACTCTTCCCTGGCAGCTGGTCTTCAGACTGGCTCATCAAATCGCTCTGGGTATAAACTTCCTGCACAGCCTGACCCCCCCCCCTGCTGCACCTGGACCTGAAGCCCAGCAACGTGCTGCTGGACTGCGCTCTCAACGCCAAGGTGAGTCCTCATTTTTAGCTTTTTTTGGGTATATAGTACCCGTGTCCACATGATCTGCAGCAACGCATAATTTTCTGTAAGATCCTCATATCTCTACACTGTAGCTATGTACATGACAATACAAGTCTTGAATCTTGTGCTCTTCCACCTACCTTCTCTCTTTGCACATATTTTCTCTCCAGCTCACAGACTTTGGCCTCGCCCGGGATCAAAAAACCACGAGGGTTTCCAAGAAGTCCAGCGGGGAGGAAGGAGGGACGACCAGCTACATGCCGCCGGAGGCCTTTATCTTATCATACAGCCCGACCAAAGCCTCTGATATTTACAGGTACGGCAGCCAATCAGACTCCTTGGTACTCGTATTCAAACGCTTAACCAGAGATGGCAAAAGTACACACATCCTTTACTCAAGTAGAAGTACAGATGTTTAAAGATACTCTGGTAAAAGTAGAGTACTGGCTAAACTTCTTTACTCAAGTCAAAGTAAAGAGGCTTTGAAATGTACTTCAGTAAAAAGTACCCATAACTAGCAGCTGTTTTAAAGAGTTCCTGACCTCCCTTTATATTAATAGAACAATAATGTCATTGTTAGCTAATGAATGTTTCCATGCTGAACAACGGCAACATGACAACGTTTCCATTGGTCCCTCTTCTTTAGAGGAGACCAGGAAATGATGGATACACGAATCGTGTTCAAATCAATAGGCACGCAATGACTCTAAAGAATAATGATCACGCATCAAACACACATTCAGACTAAAGGAACCAGCTGTTTGGAAAATGAGAGAAGTAGAAAGTACAGGTATTTGAGTTCAACATGTAAGAAGTAGAAAGTACAGGTATTTGTGTTCAACATGTAAGAAGTAGAAAGTACAGGTATTTGTGTTCAACATGTGAGAAGTAGAAAGTACAGGTATTTGAGTTCAACATGTAAGAAGTAGAAAGTACAGGTATTTGTGTTCAACATGTAAGAAGTAGAAAGTACAGGTATTTGTGTTCAACATGTAAGAAGTAGAAAGTACAGGTATTTGTGTTCAACATGTAAGAAGTAGAAAGTACAGGTATTTGAGTTCAACATGTAAGAAGTAGAAAGTACAGGTATTTGTGTTCAACATGTAAGAAGTAGAAAGTACAGGTATTTGAGTTCAAAATGTAAGAAGTAGAAAGTACAGGTATTTGAGTTCAACATGTAAGAAGTAGAAAGTACAGGTATTTGTGTTCAACATGTAAGAAGTAGAAAGTACAGGTATTGAGTTCAAAATGTAAGAAGTAGAAAGTACAGGTATTTGAGTTCAACATGTAAGAAGTAGAAAGTACAGGTATTTGTGTTCAACATGTAAGAAGTAGAAAGTACAGGTATTTGAGTTCAAAATGTAAGAAGTAGAAAGTACAGGTATTTGAGTTCAACATGTAAGAAGTAGAAAGTTCAGATATTTGGGTTCAACATGTGAGAAGTAGAAAGTACAGGTATTTGTGTTCAACATGTAAGAAGTAGAAAGTACAGGTATTTGGGTTCAACATGTGAGAAGTAGAAAGTACAGGTATTTGGGTTCAACATGTGAGAAGTAGAAAGTACAGGTATTTGGGTTCAACATGTGAGAAGTAGAAAGTACAGGTATTTGAGTTCAACATGTAAGAAGTAGAAAGTACAGGTATTTGAGTTCAACATGTAAGAAGTAGAAAGTACAGGTATTTGAGTTCAACATGTAAGAAGTAGAAAGTACAGGTATTTGAGTTCAAAATGTAAGAAGTAGAAAGTACAGGTATTTGGGTTCAACATGTGAGAAGTAGAAAGTACAGGTATTTGGGTTCAACATGTGAGAAGTAGAAAGTACAGGTATTTGGGTTCAACATGTAAGAAGTAGAAAGTACAGGTATTTGAGTTCAACATGTAAGAAGTAGAAAGTACAGGTATTTGAGTTCAACATGTAAGAAGTAGAAAGTACAGGTATTTGTGTTCAACATGTAAGAAGTAGAAAGTACAGGTATTTGAGTTCAACATGTAAGAAGTAGAAAGTACAGGTATTTGAGTTCAACATGTAAGAAGTAGAAAGTACAGGTATTTGGGTTCAACATGTAAGAAGTAGAAAGTACAGGTATTTGGGTTCAACATGTAAGAAGTAGAAGTAAAAAGTCGTCAGAAAAATAAGTAGTGGAGTAAAGTACTGATACCATAGAAATGTACTTAAGTACAGTAACGAAGTACTCCACTACTTCCCACCTCTGCGTTTAATACTTCCAAACTTGACTCCAAATTGTCTGGTTCTTTATTATTGTTATTGAACATGTGTCCTGGTTCAAATATAAATATTAATCCTGGCATGTAATGGTCTCTCTTTCAGTTATGGTATTCTCTTATGGTCCATCGTCACAGGGAAACAACCATACCCATGTAAGTGAACATTGTGTCTTTTAGCCTCTCTTACTACCTCTGCTCGAATCACTCATTTTTATCCCTTCAAACAATCAATTTTTATAGCCAAATATCACAAAATACACTTTTGTCGACAGTGCGTGCAGCATACAACACACACTGTCCTTAGACTCTGCAGCCTACAGAAAAATATTCCCAAGAAACGCAACAATTAATGGAAAAACCTTGGAGAACGTCATGGAGAAGGGAAAGGTGGTTGTGTTTATGGATCGAAAAGATAATAGGTTAACAACATGGACAGTCCAAATGTTAGAAAATATCATGTGTCTCTCTAGAACAGTCCTTTATGTAAGTTGTCCAGTAATGAACAGCACTGGGAAAGGCTAACTCCAGCTCTGAGGTCTTTACACTGGCTTCCTGTATGTCAAGGAATTGATTTAAAAATACTGCTGCTGGTTTATAACTCCTGGTATTAGGATGGGTTAAATGCAGAGGCCAAATTTCACTGGGTGTTTCTCAATGTCGAGGACGCTTGCTTGGTAGCACATGTCTTCCGAGGCAAGAATCCTTCCCTTAGCCTCGGAAAACGAAGAATGGTGGAACAGGCTAGCAGGTGTGCGTCTTATGAGAGGCCCCGCCTTAAATGGAGCGCAATTTTCACCAAAGATTTGGAAATTGGTCCGTGCGCAAAGCATTGTGGGGATTTTAAGACCGCAGAGTCTACACATGTGCAGCCTCGAAATTTCTCGCTACGAAGTACGCCGGCCTCGGTAGAATTCCAAGTATGCTGGACATTGGAACAGTCCTTCGGCGGGACTCGATGACGTAGTATGCTTGAAATAGTGGCTCTGGAGCATCCTTCCTCGACATTGAGAAACACCCACTGTGTGTTCTGCATGTGTGACCATCAAAGAGGGTTTCATCCGTCCGATTCTATTCTACTCTATTCTATATACAGCATTGAATGGTTTTAGGCCCACAATACATTTCTGACCTCCTGCTAAATTATGAACCATCCAGAACTCTCAGGTCTTCACGGACTGGTCAGCTTTCTGTCCCCAGTCAGAACCAAACATGGAGAAGTTCACTTATGATGCTCCAAATATCTCAGAAACAGGTTTGTTTAGGTTGACACCTACGAGGAATTTGACTTGATGTCATGGTGCCTTCATTAAAGTAAAACAAAAATGTAAAAACACAGATAGAGAACTATTCTGGAACAACTACCAGAAAAATGCAGGTCGGCTGCAACTCTTACTACTTTTTAAATCCAGGCTGACAATTTGTGTTCATGGACCTGTGTTATTCATGTTTTATTATCTTTGCTCTTAAATTTGTGTTTTTAATATGTTTCTACACTACTTCTTAATGAATGAATTAACTTTGAATTGCCTTGTGTTGAAAGGTGCTATATAAATAAACTTGCCTTTCCACTGTAGATGCTGAGTCCAGCCTTGTGCGGTTTCGCATCCCGGAGGGAGACCGTCCATCACTGACCGAGATCCCGGCTCTGTCCGCTGGGATGGCAGGTCTGACGGGGCTGATGGAGCTAATGCAGGGATGCTGGCACCAAAACCCCAAAGAAAGGCCCTCTGCCCTTAGTAAGGAAACTCCTTTATTTAAAGGTCCCCTATTATACTGTTTTTCATCAATATATCACAGGTCTCAGATATATACAAAACATGTCTCTGATGGTCTGAAACACCAAACAGATCATTGCAGCATTACCCATAATCCCCTCTGTTTCAGCCCTGTTTCCAAAGTGCTGATTCTCTGTCTGTTACTTTAGATGAAAATAAGGAGCCCCTCCCCACGCCCCTCTGAGAGACATTTGGTTACAAAGAACTCAATGGTGCTCTAGGAGGAGATTCAAGTGATAATGGGGGGGGGGGGGTTACCTTGGTTGCTGATTGGCTAATGGTTACACAAGACAACACATCGTTATGACATCATAAAGTGTCCAAAATCTGATCAGCTCATTTTCAGACAGGTTTTTATAGAAATGGATCAAAAAGAGAGAGAATCTTTGTTCCTGAAACTTTCAGAATCTCTTTCCACAGAGGGGACACATGCTGATGTAGAAGAGACATGAAGAAGAGGGGACACATGTTGATGTAGAAGAGACATGAAGAAGAGGGGACACATGTTGATGTAGAAGAGACATGAAGAAGAGGGGACACATGTTGATGTAGAAGAGACATGAAGAAGAGGAGACACATGTTGATGTAGAAGAGACATGAAGAAGAGGAGACACATGTTGATGTAGAAGAGACATGACGAAGAGGGGACACATGCTGATGTAGAAGAGACATGAAGAAGAGGGGACACATGTTGATGTAGAAGAGACATGAAGAAGAGGAGACACATGTTGATGTAGAAGAGACATGAAGAAGAGGGGACACATGGTGATGTAGAAGATACATGAAGAAGAGGGGACACATGTTGATGTAGAAGAGACATGACGAAGAGGGGACACATGTTGATGTAGAAGAGACATGAAGAAGAGGGGACACATGGTGATGTAGAAGAGACATGAAGAAGAGGGGACACATGTTGATGTAGAAGAGACATGAAGAAGAGGGGACACATGTTGATGTAGAAGAGACATTGAAGAAGAGGGGACACATGTTGATGTAGAAGAGACATGAAGAAGAGGGGACACATGTTGATGTAGAAGAGACATGAAGAAGAGGGGACACATGGTGATGTAGAAGATACATGAAGAAGAGGGGACACATGTTGATGTAGAAGAGACATGACGAAGAGGGGACACATGTTGATGTAGAAGAGACATGAAGAAGAGGGGACACATGGTGATGTAGAAGAGACATGAAGAAGAGGGGACACATGTTGATGTAGAAGAGACATGAAGAAGAGGGGACACATGTTGATGTAGAAGAGACATGAAGAAGAGGGGACACATGTTGATGTAGAAGAGACATGAAGAAGAGGGGACACATGTTGATGTAGAAGAGACATGAAGAAGAGGGGACACATGTTGATGTAGAAGAGACATGAAGAAGAGGGAACACTTGTTGATGTATAAATTAGGATTAGGATAGGATTTTGCATACTAGGTGACCTTTAAAGCAGTACGTTGAAATGTCACAGGAAATGTTGCCTTTAACAGCCTCGACTTACACATCTTTTCTCTATGTTGTTTTCAGAAATTGATAATAAACTTTGACTTTTTTCACTGTAAAACTCCTCTGTTAGAAGCTTTGCACTGAAATAAAGACAAATGTGGTAAAAAAAATAAAACTATGGAAGCCCATTGGGGACAAAAGAAATGTAAACTTGAAAATGAAAAACTTCACATTGGCATTATACTTTTCCGCATATATAAATGTTTTTGGAAAAGTTTTGAAGTAATTCTATTGGATGCTGGGTATATTTAAATATATTGTCAATTGCATGACAGGTTAAGTCTTAAAGGTAACCTAAAGGTTAAATGCGGTTTTAATTTTCAAATGGTTACAAATCTTACACATATTTTCTCTATGTTGTTTGCAGAGTGTACAACTGAGTCCGAAGACCTGTATAAGATGCACAAAAGTGGAATAAATGACGCTGTCCATAAAGTGCTGGTAAATCAGGTGAGGGTCAAATCTCTTCTTAGGACTCATGTTGACATGATGCAGCAATATTTTGTAACCATCGTCTTTCTCTTCCTCTTTCCAGGACCAAAGGGAACCAGAAAGATTGAGTGAGCAGATCGACCGTCTTCACATAAGCAAGTCTTCAGGTCTGCTTTCACTTTTTTTTCACCCACCACTTACAAATATGGTTTCTTCAACTTTAAAAGAGACATTTTAAAGCACCGGTATTCACATTTTACATCATTATATTTGGCCTCTTTTTTTACAGCGAGGGAATGTTTTCAAGAAGTGAACAGTGTGCCGACAGGTCGCCCGCCAGTTCAGGTGAGATTCAGACGATTTTAAACTACTCTAATTAAGATACATTCCTTGTATTTAACACCCAGAAATGTTGGATATAGCTTTACAGAAAGGTCTAGTTTCAAAATAGTATGTGGCAGGGGCGGACTGGCCATCGGGACGTTCGGGACGAATCCCGATGGGCCGGTACTGAAGTGGGCCGGTCGGACGATATGGGCCGGTCGGATAAGTCACTAGCACCCCCCCCGTCCCGTCCACAATTTACTAGCGGTATTTACTTGCGGCACAGAGGTGGGCCGGTCGGATAAGTCACTAGCACCCCCCCCGTTGACAATTTACTAGCGATAATTACTTGTGGTACTGAGGTGGGCCGGCGGTACCGAAGTGGGCCGGTCGAGAGTCCCGGGCTGATTTGTAGTCCCAGTCCGCCCCTGCTATGTGGGTATCTTTAACAGACAACACTTTTAATGTCATCATTCAGTCTCCTTCTTGCACTGTGTTTATGTCATTGATTGTCTTTAAACCAATCCCAAAGTGGTCTGTGAGACACAGTTGTCCCAAATTGGCTAATGCTGTGCTGATTCTACACATGTTGGTTTTTTGCTGTCACAGGAAAATGTTACACGTATCACTTCCTGCTGACCCAGGGAAGTTTTGCAGAGTGTTGAACATAGCGAATGTAAAACCCCCAATGAAGGGCATAGAGTTCAAATATGAAGATAATAGGAAACTAAACGTCATAATCCTTGTGGCAACATATTTATCAAGCATATGATTAACTTGACTTGCATTAAAGTAGTGAGAAAAAACGAATTATTGTACAGTTATTGGCTTTATGCAAAACTGGTCATTAAAGGTGGTTTTAATGGTGTGTTTACAGTGGAATTTTAACTCACTTGTTACAGGAAATGGCTGGTCGTTGGGATCAGAGAGACAAATCAAGAGTCCAAGGTAAAAAGGAAGTTTTCGTAAAAGCTGCAAAAACAACTTACAAACAAATCATGGGTTGATGTTTGTAGTAAAATATCTTCCCTTTCAGATAAACCTCGACCTAAAAGCGTGTGTTTCGATGAAGTGGGCCGCCCATCGACTAAAGACAAAGTGTCTTCTGTGTGCCCCATTCAAACCTCACCGCCGTCTTGTTCAACTGGGACGTCGTCTCAAAAAAGAAAAGAAAAACCTTCCCAGACAGATTTCAGGCAGAACCTGTCTCCAAATTACCTGGTAGGTTTTTGCTGCTTTTAATTTTCTTTACCAGTTCTTGACTCATTAACACAGGAGATAAAACCATTTTGCTTTCCCAGAATTAACGTTTATTCTTTACTTGCGTCTCAGAGTTTCTGTAGAATATCCATGTTAATTGAAAGATATGAACTAGTTGTTGATGTAAAAATGTAACTTGAAGGCAGAAAATACTTCTGTTCAGTATCGATGTCATTTGAAGCGTTTCAGATCAATTCTCATGAAAACGGCACTTATTGGAGACTTGAAACAAACCTCTAAATATACCTATGTTATGCTTTATGGGGTTTTTCACTTCCCTGTAGTGTGTTGAATAGGTTGTTGTGCAAGAAAATGGTTTGCAAAGGCTACCATCCCAAAGTTCCCTCTAAAGCAGTGCTTCTCAAACTTTTTTCAGTATTGTACCCCCTTTTAAACATTTTCTCAGCCAAATACCCCCTGACCGACCCCGGACATTTGTGATAGAAAAAGCCTATATAAATAATTCCAATATAGTGATGTTCCATCAGAGTGTGATTTAGTAACTCCTTCATGCATTAATTACAACAAACTAAGGATATTTTCATCTTTATGCATGAAAAAAAGAACATAACGACATTTTTTAAAAACAGATTTTTCCAAGGAGTTTTTCAATTGAAGTTTAACAAACCAATGAACAAAATTATATATTATGAAAAACTATCAATACACACATTTTACATGTTTATATGAGGTGGTTCTAGGAATATTTTATATAAAATTGTGTTTTCTATTTAATTTATTGTACTAAGATTATTTTTGTAATCATGCATGGTATTTTTTTTATTAACCTTTTTTTTTTTTTAGCTCACGTACCCCCTGCAGTACCCCAACGCACCCCTAGGGGTCCGCGTACCCCCATTTGAGAATCACTGCTCTAAAGGGACATCACTATGTAACACTCGCGCTTCTATTGGCTAGCGCTCCAACACATTGTACGGGATAGGCTAAGGGGAGGGACATTTCTAAGCGGTTGATCAATCACAACAGAGCCAGCCAGCTAACCAATCAGAGCAGACTGAGCTCTGGTTTCAGACAGAGGGTGAAAAGAGGTGCTGCAGCACAGGCAGTATGAGAAAAATAAAGAGCTTTTTGAACATTAAAGCATGGAGACATGTCACATTAGAAAAATTAACCTGAAAATGAGCAGAACAGGACATCCATTAAGTGCCTCCCCAAAGACACCCACACTCCATTCTCACCAGTTCTCATCACTTTTCCTATTTCAAAGCATTTACAGTAGTTCTTGATACATCATTTTTGTTGCCTTCTATGAAAGACTCATAAAAGACGACATGTCACAGTAGAGACACTAAATACAAATATGAACCTGAACATGAGCAGAATCCTCTTTCAACTTCAACTGCTGATGTTTTTCGCTCTTTTAATTCTTGTATCTGCAGCGTCAATCTTCGACCCCGGAATCTTCCAGTTTCCGCCCTGCACCTGGAGTCCATGTGCACTGCAGCAATGTAACCGGACTTCAGGTTGGCGACAACAACACCATGTACATCAATGAATCCAGGAAACGGCACCCAACAGCGCCCCCTACAGTCGACTTCCAGCCGCAATCAGCAGGAAACTCCAGGGACAAGACAGGAGGATAAACTCACATGGAGCTTTTTTATCCTTAGTTCTCTAATTGAACAGTTCTCCATGCATGATTTATCCATTCTTACATAACAGGAAGGTCATGTTTTGTAAGTGAAGCTCCCTGTCTGAATGAATAGCTGTATTTTTTTAATTATTTTCAAATAAGACTTTTCTTTTATAGGCTGTAATAGAGAGGGTTTTTTTGTATTTATTGTGCTTCTTCTCGTAGAACATTTTAAACCAATGATGAAAAATGTCACACCTCTCTTTTGCCCTGTCAGCATTATACATGAGGGCCAAGTCATGTGGTTTTTCTTTCAACTGTGTCAACAGATATCCACAGTTCACGGTGCCAAAAATCGCCATACGGAATTTTGTGTTAGGATACTAAAATATTGTTCATCAAACTATACTGTAAATATCTATGTTTTTGGATAAGGTGCAAATGCTGTTGGTTTCTTTTATTCTAATGCATCCCTTTGTGGGTATATTTTTACAATGTCATCGATCAATTGCAGCCGAGAAAATGTTTCAACAGCTGTATAAACGTTTCGAAATAATCAAAAAAATCAAACAGAAAGGGGAATTTTAACAGAAGTATTTGCACAATGTTTCCCAGCATGTTGAAATTAATGTAGCATGATGTAGCTTCAATGAAGTGTTGGAACAAGCATGTTTGGGATATTAATGTGAAATTATTTGGTAGTATGCTAAAAAATAATAGCTTGAAGGATACTTATCTTGTCTGGGATGGGATTAATGGATTTGTTGACAATTAAACAATATATAAAAAGTTCCAAGAGCTATCCTTTAATCCTAATTAAGGTACGTAAGAGGATATTACCAGTATAAACATTAAGAACATGGAGATTCATGTATTAGTTGAAAATGATTGTTTACTATAACTCAAAGGTGTTAATAAAATTATATGTTTTACTCAAATGTAGCAGGAATTTTATTTATTCGTGTGTTACACTTTTATGCTTCTCAAATGTGAGAATTAGCTGCATTTCTCTTCTTTTTTTTTAAAGGAAAGTAATCTGAAAATATTTGGGTTTTTGATCAGTGTTAGAAGAAAATTACATTGACCGTGATTGGTGAATATGAAAGAGCTGGAAAATGTAATTTATCAGCAATTTCTGACAATGGTTTTATCATTAATATGTAATCTTTTCCGCAAAGATTCAACAACATTTAGCTAGCTTCTCAAATGTGAGGATGTGGCCCCATTCCCCTGTTTTATGTACATATTTTAAAGGTCACCTATCATGCTATTTTTAGGCAATAGCATAGGTCTCAGATATATAAAAATATATAAAAAAACACGTCTATTAAGTGTTTTGCTCAAAATACCAAACAGATCACCCATTCTAGCCATGCCTCATATCCCTCTATTTCACTTCCTGTTTCAAAAGTGCTGATTCTGGGTATAAACAGGTCTCTCTTGAGGATGAGACCCTGTGTCTCAATGAGATTTTCACCTGTATAAATAAAGGCTAAATAAAAAAAATAAGAGGGGGGCAGGCTCATGCGGGACCTGGCAGATACTGGGTGTTTGAGGATGCTTCCTTGGTAGGACATGTCCCTCCGAGTCAGGTCCTTCAGAAGCGAGGCAAGAATCCTTCCTAGCCTCGGAAAACGAAGAATGGTGGAACAGGCTAACAGGTGTGCGTCATATGCGAGGCCCCGCCTTAAATGGAGCGTGATTTCCGCCAAAGATTTGGAAATTGGTCCGTGTGCAAAGCATTGTGGGGATTTTAAGACCGCGGAGGATACACATGTGCATCCTCAAAATTTCCCGCAACGAAGTACGCCGGCCTCGGTAGAATTTCAAGGATCCTGGACATTGGAACAGTCCTTCGGCGGGACTCGATGATGTAGCATCCTTGAAATAGTGGCTCTGGAGCAGCCTTCCTCGACATTGAGAAACACCCACAGTCTAAAATGCTGCGGTGATGAAACGCAAGGATTATTAGATCAAGGATTATTTCTGAAACAGTATGGAACTCAAAGGCTTTCTCTCTTGCCGGTTATACCACAAGGTGAGTTTTTATTTCCTGCTTCTTCACACACATGCTCTCCAGTACAGGTTAGCTCTGAGTGTTAGCCATGCTAATGTGAACACCGACCATATTACGTCCAAAACAGTCGAGCATTGTTTCTGATAGTGCTGTGGTTCCGCCGCCGATATGACGTCATATCGGACGCAAATCTGGATCAGCTCCGTTGTTCCCCCGTTTTTAGAGATTTGGGTACGGAGGAAAAGAGAGAGGGTTTTATTTTCTGACGCTGCGTGAGTTCCCCGACACACCGGGGACACATGTTTATGTATAAAAGACATCACAAAGTGCATTTTGCATGATAGGTCCCCTTTAAAGTCTTGCATTAAAGATAAATTACATTTAATGTCCCGACTGCCCTAATTGTTATACAGTCCCTACATTTCTGTATTTAAATGTTATTTTGGTGACATGTACCATTTCCTCGAGCGTCTGCAGGTGTTTCTGTTCAGCTATAGCGTCTTACATCGACATTTAAATGTGTTTATCCATATATTCCTAACAAAACACTTCTGTTGCTGCTGTAAGTGTGTGATCCACCACATATAACAAAACAAGTGTTTTCCAAGGGATGTCCTAACGTAAAACTGTTTTAAAAAAGGTATACAGTAAGGACATGATTTTAACAAGATCATGGATGAAATTGTTTAATCATAACTGGGTGTTTACGGTTTATTTATTTTTTTGGTTTGTTATTTTATCTTTTCTTGATTACCATTTACCTCTTTTATATATTTCTTTGCATATTTGTTTGTTTATTCTTCTGTTTATTTATTTTTTGTTTTATGTTTTTCAATAACAAATGTATTTCTTTAATTAAGAAAATGTTAAATCTTTGTATTATTGTTTTACACATTCAAAATAAATCGAATCAAATACAAAAATGTAATATGCTAAGCGGAGGGATCTTGATCAGCTTGAAGGGTGTTCTTTTCCCCATATGACCAAGTCGCTGCACATTATCCCGCTTATTACACGGCCATATACTAAACAAACTAAGGAATCGACTCCCAATATTAATTTAAATGATTTTATCGACTTAAAAATGATCGTATTTCTTCCGCTGAGAAACCCCCCCCCCCCCCCCCATGGCGCACCAACGGCTGGAACTGCGACAACAACAACTTTACGGCAGCACTGTCCAAATCTGTTCACAGTTTCAGATCCACAAACAAGTCCTTAAACACTGCAGAGCCCATACCGTGTTCCTGTTAGTGTTTACTTCCTCTCTACCTTATTCTGGTGGTTTATCTACGTCCAGCGCTCCGTCTTTTACTTTCTCTTTCTTGATCCTCCTTAGCAACGGTCAATAAGTCCTTGACAGCGGTATGTACTACTGTATTAACAACTTGTCACGTGTTCTGAATTGACCAATCAGAATCGAGTATTCAACTAAGCCATGTAATACATTTTGTGAATGTCACTGGGGAAAGAAAAAAAAGAATGAACACTAATTGCTCAAAAACAGGTAACATTATGAATGATATTTTATGTTGTTTGTAACCTGGTGATCATTTAATTTGGACCCAAAGTATTAACATAGTTTCGTACTCCAGACACAAATCTCCAAAGTGCAAACACAGGCATCTGCTGTGCACCGGGCGTTGAAACTAATGGGTAGAGAATGGTCCGGTGTGAACTCAGCAGGTTTCTGGCACCGATCCTTTCCTCTTCTGCCAATCTGCCACCGGAACCACCGCAGAGACACGCTGTGTGTCCCCGCCATGACAAACTCACAGGAGAATATACAATTAGTTTAAGTTTTATACCAAAAAGCTATCTAGCTAGCTAGCTGTCTTGTCTGTATGTGTGTCTGTCTGTCTGTCTGTCTGTCTGTCTAATCTCTGCACTGTAAACCCTCAGAAACCCTTACAACACGTGGACTAACAACAGGGTGTGTACTATTTATAGAACAACAGTCTGTCTGCATCAAGTGATCTATAGAGCGTATGTAAATTGTACTGCAGGTGAATTCAGCTTTGCCAAGGACGTAGTTTGCATGTCCTTTCATATCTCAATCTCAATATATTTAAAACAACCTCAGTTGACCAAAGTGCTGTACAGGCAACAAATACAATATAGAATAACACAATAGGTGTCAAATAATAAAACAATAATTGAAAACAAGATAAAAAGCACAATAACTAGAAACATAAAAATGTCAAAATGTCATGTTCAACTAGTATTAACAGCCAGCGCAAAGAGGTGAGTTTTTAGCATAATCTTAGATGTCAGTGTTTAGTTAAGAAGCTAGGGCGTATTGCCTAGCCTCTTTGGTTGTTATAAATGGCCACACTCGATCATTTTGTTCTATAACACATTTGAGTTGCTGGAACTGCTACCTCCGCGACCCGACCACGGATAAGCGGGAGAAGATGGATGGATGACATTTGAGTGTATTGGCAAAGGAATGTCTGATATTGCCAAAATCTTGTTTTGTGGAGTTCAGTGACCTTGCCCCTTGATCACCAAGATCTAATTAGTTAATCATTAAATGCAAGTTGAGGATAGAGACAGATTTGAAGAAATTCCCCTCAGGCATTCCTGAGTAATCGTGTTTACAGGAAAGGGACCGACTGTACCTACGTGAGTATGTAGGCACAACCCAAAACACATACATCTCTCTGCCATAGCTGTCATCTGCGTGGAGATATAACAACACAAGTTAACTCTCTGCCAACATTGCATTTGTACTTTAAAGACTTCAAAGCCCTTAAAGTATTTGAAATGAAGTTGGCAAGCTAGCTAGGTGGATAGACTAAGATTGAGACGAGAAGAGAAGTGACACAATAGTATTATTTATTGCCATAAAAGTTTTCTACCCTGAATTTCGTGCATTAAAACAAAATCACAAAGCTATGACAGGGTGACACATGTTAGCAAGCATAGGTGACACAACACAGTACTCAGACAACACTGAGTCATAAAAGTACAATGATAACTGGGAAATACATTCATGATTGTTTGTTGCTGAGCAATCTCCCCCAACCATCCGATACATATGAAGATGCATCACTGCACTTTGTATTCAATGCATCTGTTGATGCTTCGTCCTTTGTACTTTCACATGACTTTGACAACAACATAACGTACGGCTACCTTTATCTACAAGGGGAACACCAGGAACCCGGAGAACGTGGAGTACTTCCAGCCTCCCATCAGGTTCCCCCTCTCCAGTTTGAGGTAAGTCTTGTCCCCTCGCTCCATTATCACCAGGCCGGCATTAGTGGCAGCTTCTCTGGTCACGTCCTGATCGCCTGCGAAGGCTGAAATCACCGGCCAGCCGTTAAGAACCAAACTCACCTGAGGAAGAAAGATGAAGAGGAATAGTATGTGAGTGTCGTGTCAAATGATCATATACTCATTTAAAACATATAGTCTTATACTCTGATTTTCTTTTACACTGTTAAATTGTATTTTTAGTCTTGTATGTGTTTAACATGTGTTTAGGATTTACATTGCAGGAGGGCAATAGGAAATGTAAAAGGGGGATTTGCAAATGGTTAAGGACGAGGGGGTTTAATGGTTTAATAGTGGGGATGTTTAGATGATGCCTAAGAGACTTTAAGGGTGGGACCAGTTGGATATTCTCTACTATATAGTGTGACTGTAAACTGTGTTCTGCAGAACGTCTCTGTCCTCTGAGGATGACGTTGCTCTGTTCCTACATTTGGGATCGATTTCACTTGTATATTGACTTTCTTTATTACTTTATTAAATATATCAAAGACAAACTTTGTCCATGGATCATTTATCAGTTTCTCTTAAGATTGTTCTCCGCAATGAGCAGTGGGGAAAGGCATCTGCAGGAAAATTGTGGTCAGAAAACACGGATTATCTGAATCAGAATCAGAATCAAGTTTATTGCCAGGTACGTTTACA